CTAAAGTGTATTCAGTTTAACTTGCTATTAGACATCAATTTTCTATCTCTGGCCCAGTGAAAATGTCTACTTTCAGTTTTGAGTCACTTTTCTCTATATTTAATTTTCTTTTTAGATATTAGAATACACAACCATTGTATGTCACTGATTTTATTAACTTCTTCATGAGACCAAGTGTAATGTGAAGGGATGGAAGATCTTTTGCAGGTTCTGCCAGTGGTATAAATTGTACCAACTGTATTCATCTCTTTTCAACCAATCTTTTACAAATGTACAGATTGCAGTCATCTCATGTTTCAGACACAAGCAGCACATATTTTTGTATATGCCAGCTGCAATCACAGGCTGAAAGACATCAACTTTACATCACCAGATATTCCATATATAAACTGAGTAATGACAACCTTTGACCCAGGTTTCTTAAATTCATGTAGGTCAGTCAACTGGAATACAGTTTTGGATTTTTTTTCATTGTCATATGCCCCAGTCGACGAATGGGTTTATAAGGCAATCATACGCCGACTAGGAGATATATACATTCTCACACCTGTGGAAAGATACAAGCTATCTCTCCCAGATTGTGACAATGGACAATTGGTAAACAAAATATTTTTAAGACCACTGTTCAATTGGGATAATCGAAAAATAATCTTTCCTAGGTCCGCTTCATTTTCAACACGAATACTGATCCACAATACAAGGATGAACTATAAGGCTTAGCAATTTTTGATACAAGAATTTGAATAAGTACAAATATACAAATATCAAAATAAAAGAACAGATAAGTATGAGTTAAAACATCTGATGACCAGATCTCAAAACTTATGTTGGGATATCGAAATTTGCCTAACACCAAATGGATTCAACTGAATCCGAACATACAAAAATATAAGTATGAATTACTATGAATTGAATGCAGAAGCCAACGCATACACAAGAGATGGGATAGGAGTTACAATTATTGTTTTTACATGTGGAAAGGTGTTTGCAAGAACATAATATTCATGGATGTATGTATATCTTTCTACTACGGGTCCAAAATATGATTACTTATCTTTTATATTCAGTTCTCTTTTTTTATCATTGTCCTTTCCTTTCTTTTTTCGATACAAACACAATTTCACACACTGTCCGGCTGTAATAGAGGTATTCACTTTCTTCCTCTCTTTGTTTTGCCTTTTTCTTTCCTTCCTTTTTCTTCTGTAGACAGTTCAGTTTCCAAACCCGACTCACTGCAACAGGGATGTACACTTTCTTCCTCTCTTTGGTTTTCTTCTTTCTTTCCTTCTTTACACAATTCAGCTTATAACAGAGGTATATACTTTCTTCTCTAGTTTTCCTTTTTCTTTTCTTTACACAATTCAACTTGTAACAGAGGTATATGCTTTCTTCTCTGGTTTTCCTTTTTCTTTAAATGCAGGTTGAATCCTCAGTGTATAAATTTCTCTGTGTCTTCAATTCGGGGTTCTCGAACAGGAATACTTCTTGTTATATTTCTTGTCCGGAGTTGCCTGGGTTGAACTGGATAAGTTCCATCACTATCAAATGTGTCTTATGTTTCCGTGCATAAACTATCAGCGCTTCGGCTTCAGGTCTTGCCTCTTCAAAGTCAAGATAGCAACTGATTCTCAAGTGAATCTCTATCACGTGTCTTAAGTTTTGACATGAATTCCAGCTTACATCAGTCCCCTGTCTAGCTTCTGTCTTGACATTTGTCGCTACGGGTAATTGGGTCTGTCAACCTTTTGACCTGCCTTCCCAAAATGTCATAAGACTCCCATGTGACCTTTATTCTGTTGCTAGGCAGAAATTAACCCTAATATGCGTATATGCGTGTTTAGGCTATCTGCTTTCATCACATCATTGAGAAATCACATATTAACCATGCAAAAGTAATAGATTATTGGCTAGCTTATATAATACCATTGATAAAGCAAAATGTATTTAATTCAGTTTGCCATTCAATCACTGTGTAAGCCTCAAGTAATAGAGGATGCAGCATATTTAAATGCCCAACTTTTCAAGCTGGAAATAATATTTGTAGGTTCTTTAATTTGGTTCCATTGTTCTTCTGTTGGTCATACAGTGTAGACTTCAAAAAGACATAACTGATTTATCTGAGTGATTCACACAGCCCCCCTTGTTCATGATTAAACACATTTAATATAGCACAAAAGCTATGCAGTTCATATGATGACAATACAAACACAAAATTAGCAAAAACAAATTAAAGCACGGCAGCAAGACAGTAATTTACATTATTCGGACTATTGTCCTCATCTTTGTCGCCATATTTATTACAACGTTTCAGCCATTATACGCTCTGGCTTGCTTCAGGTGGTTGGAATATCAAACACGACCCTTTATTTCACTCACTGGGGTAGACCGTTCTAGTCCCACATGCCATATTTTTAATGGATGTCAGTTATCAGTTATCTCCTGTTAATTTCCCTCTGAATGTTCTCCACTGCCTTAACCGGGTATTGAACTCACACTCTTTGGGTCCTGTCACTAGATCTAGCTAACGCCTTTATCCACTGTGCCATGTGTCCTTGAAGAAGGCCGGAGCATACAACGGCCGAAACGTTGTAATAAATATGGTGACAAAGATGAGGACAATAGTCCGTATAACGTAAATGTACATAATACCTCATCTCAGAAATATAGACAGATACAGCAAGACAGTAACATTACACACTATATTAATAATTACAGTAAAGGGGGATTTTGCTGAGAGTCAAATGTATTGCTGGAAATAATTTTTCCTTCAAAAATTGGTTATTAAGCAATGTAGGTAAGCAGATTTGGTAAACAGTTTTTGTTTTTTTTATATTTTTCTGCGGAGTCCAATTTCTTTAATGAAATTTACGATGTTACTTGGATTGGTATTTTCAAATAGATCCTTTAAGTTATCCAATTGTAGAGTTTGATTTGAGTTTGCTGGAAGTTACAGCAAATTTAGTAGAATGTTTTTGACTGTATATGGTTCCTGGCATGAGAGACATATTGGCAGTTCTTCATTTTTTAGTAGGTATTGATGGGTTATGTATGTGTGTCCTATACAGAGTCTGGCTAGAACCACCACCTATCTTTCTGTAACTTGACTGTCTTTCACTGATTATTGGCTGGAAGTAATCTCTAAAAAGATTTGTCTAAAAGCTAATAAACATAGTATGAAAAATACTTTCAGAAAGACAACAGAAGACAGTCCCCACAATCAAACACATAATGCAAAATCCTGATGTTTAAAACAAGCTCTTACCACATTATGTGTTCTATTTCTCATTTATTAAGAATCAGGCAATGATGAATTGTAGTAAATCTAACATTTCCATAAAACTATTTTTTATTGTACTTTTTATTATAGATATTTGTATTAAAACACAACTTACAGATGAAAATGTGACAATTCATTCTAGACACACACACTAAAATCAAAATCCTAATTATTCAAAGGTTTGTAGAATGATGGTACTGATTGAGAAGCTTAAATTTCTATCTTGTTCTTAAATAACTGTTTGTGTGTGTGTGTGTGTGTGTGCATATATATATATATATATGAATTGGGATCAAATACAGCTTAAATATGGATCGGAATCTGACAATGATGGGATAAAGAACAGGAAATGTTTATAAATCTAACAGGTTTGACTTTTATTAAAGCTTCATCAAAAAATGAGATATGGAGTAAAAGAAATTCTGGTATTTTTATTTCTGTGTTTGATTTTCATTAGTTAAGCTGACTTCACATGCATTTGACTTGTCAAGTAGAGTTTGTGTGCAGTTTTGTGTATCATTATATATTAGTTTACCTACTGTACACTGATATGATAAAAGTAATAAGGTAATGGTAGATGGTAATACCATAATTTGACATAACGGAAAAGCCAAGTCATAGCAAGGCAACATGAATTATTGGTGGTGGAACAGGACATGACAGTGGACGGTAGATAGGATGTTCCCTTTTTACATTTATGGAGACATCTAGCTATAGTGCTACATGTGTAACAGAAATACCTGATGGAAATCATTACTGCTCATTGTGAATAGCAGTGACCAACCACAGATCCTTAATGATCGTGACTACAAGCATGATAACGTATGAACAACTTTGGCTCAAATCATATCCACATTCAATATAGGTGGTACCAGACACAAACTAGAAGGTCAGTTCAGTGTTCTTTAGCTTTAGTGTGGGGAGTGTTCAAATGGTAGGAAATGGGTAGAATCAAGTTACTGACTAGTGATGCTATGTTACCACTACTTTATGACCACATACCCCTAATTTATAAACTTCATGTACCAACAACAATTAGTGATTCCAGTAGGGTAATGCATTAGGTCAACAAGGCCCTAGTTCTCCAAAACTAGTTTAAAGAGCTTTCTGGAGATTTCTGATGAATGGTATAACCATGACATTTGCCAGACATGAGCCCAAATGACCATCTACGATATGCTGGATTCTGCAAGTATCAGAGAACAGCCATTGAGACCAAAATTGATGCCGTTGCTAGGAGTCTTGCATGATATCAGGCATCTATCCCATGACTTGGCACATCAGTGTAAATGAGTTTCTTGAAATATAAAGGTTTTTTTGGAGTTTTTTTCTCTCATTAATTTGGCTTTTTTCATGATGTCTTTTTAAAAATTAGAATCTTTTCTATTCTGCTAACGAACAACTTTTATACAAGAATTAAAATTTCTAAACATTCTGTGAGAAACACAGTTATCTAAGGAAAACCTCAAATATTAAAAGAAGACCAGAAAGGTAAACTAGAATTCAAAAAGTAATAAAAAATTCAAACAGAAGCAATAATAAAAAAAATAAGAGATATACAATTGATGGTTGCATAGAATTAGTAACATCAAGGAAGAGGAAGAAGAGCAAGGCATATTTTGCAGATATACCCCTCCCCCTTAGATTGTTGGAATTTAACTAATGGTGTGGCTCTGAGGATTAGAGTCAGTTCCTACCCCTACTGACCTTCTCACTCACTCACCATTATCCTCTCCCTGCGTTCCTTGTCTCGTTTTCTCACTTCTGCCTTATCTGCTTTCAACCTTTCAATTTCAAGTTCTTTGCTCTGGAGAAATCAGGCATTTATAGCAGTAAGTACCAAGAAATGCACAGTATGTGGACAACATGCAGTGAGTTTCCATTCAGGTCTTTTCTATATTAAATGGAAACATGATAAACTTTTCTGCTTTTAGCTGACCAATTTTAATTCTGTAATTTTATTTTTTAAATTAGAATTTGATTTAAAAGGATTTGTTTTTATTTTCTGTAAATGCATTTTTTTTCATAACCAGGCAAAATAATGATTTATAGTTTTGTTCACTAGCTGATTGTTGTCTCCATACTGTGCTAATAATGAAGCAGTAATAATGAAAATATACAAATTCGATTAAAAATATTTAAAATAAATAAAAGCCTACAAATAAGCAGCCTTCAAGGTTTCATTTTCAGTGGCAAACACTTCCCATTTCTAAGAGCAGGTAGCTCAGAATAAATGTATTACAATTATAATAACGAGGAGGAAATATCAATTTTAAAACAAGTAAAATATTTCAAAACATTTTAAATTGACACAAGAGAAATTGTGATCAATTCAGGTGAAAAGAAATATGCCATTTTTAATTTGATCATTTTATATGCTTACAAAGCATGATGAAATGGAAATGAATTGGAAAAATCTCCATGAATAAATATAAAAAAGGAACCAACCAAAACATTTAAAATTTCAAATGATAACCTTGAATACTTTCTCAATTTTAAACATTTTTTCATACCAACAAAAATGGATATCATACTTGGCAACAAAGAGAAGAAACAAAAATAAAGAGATAATTAACATAAAATATTCCTTAGAAGTTTTTTGGTGCTAAACTTAGTGCATTAACTGATTTTTTTTTAATTACTAGTTAAAGTAAATGTTGTATACAATTTCCCCACTGAAAATATGTAAAATGTTAGCTGCAATCAATTAAGCACAAGCTAAAACACTAATGAAAGAGACCAAATTTTTTTTAAGTATAAAATTATTTTAAGATGTTATTTAAATCTGCCCCAAACCAATAGAATTTGAAAGCTTAGTATAGAAGGCAAAAAAAATTGTTAGTTTAACCATAATATAAGAGGCCTTTATTATTTCTGATATTATTTGATACCCTTATAAAATTCAAAAGAGACACATCACCAAAAGAATTGTTCCATCAAAATGTTCCATTTAATCATAATTTACCTAACAATTTCTTATTTATGATCAATTATTGGTTCAGAAAACTTCACATCAAAATGTTTAAATTCATAAAGACTATAAGTGAAGCAGATGGAAGAACAAGTTCTAAATACCTCCCAATCTGATAAAGGAAAACATTTTTTTAGACTCATCATTTGTAACAAAATAATAAAATTTAAGGTTAAAAACCTACTTAATAGTAAGAATCAATAGTTTTAGCAACCATGCATCGGCATACCAGAATTAAGTTAAACTTCACACATGACTGCTGTAATGGTAGATTAAAAAGTTTTTAATTGTTGTTTTGTAGATTATATTCAACATCGGCTATTATCTCATTACCCTAGTTTGAGAGAATTTAAAAAGGCCTCTAATAAATGGTATAAACTGAAAATTAGCCAAAAATGTTAGAAAAATAATAATGGTTGGGTAAAATTCTTTAATGGTAAATGAATATTGAATGATGAGTTTTTAAAAATGATGAAGGATAAAATTTTTGAAATTCTTTTAACAGATTCTGAAAATATAAACAGCAAATCATGATTAAGTGCATAAAAAAGTAATAATTTTTAGAAATCAGGATTAAATTCTTATAATAAAAAAAGAGTGCATAACAAGGTTTGTTTAAAAAAAACAAAACAAAAAAAAAATTAATCATTAATTAGATTGTGTGGCATTCCAGATTGTTCAGTTAGAAATTCTAACTGAACAAACAAAAAAAAAATCCAAATTAGTCAATAATTTAGTGCTTAATAGATTACAAATTCTTCAAACATTGATATTATATTCAAATGTTAATCTAGGATCATTTTTGAGTTTAGTTAAGGAATGTTAAAAAACAAAATGATTACAGTCATTTTGAAGATAAAGCAACCTCATGAGAAAAAAAAAATTATAAGAGTGCATGACATTTATGTATATTTCTCCAGTGATTATCTAACAATGCAATAACAATATGAGAAAGTACGTGTTTTTAACAATATTTTGCTGATTTTTCAATCCTATTAATAAGAGAAAATATCACTACCATTGAATGGGCAACTGGTTTAAACTAAATCTCTGCCTACACTGAAAGAATACACCAGAAAGAATTATCCTGTCGAAAAATATTACTGCTATCTTAGAAGACATTTTCAATGATGTTGTAGTATAGGATCCAGTGTTTTCCAGTAGAATGTCACCAAAGAAAAAAAAAATCATACTGCCTCAAAAAAAAAAAAAAAAAAAAAAAAAAAAAAAATTTACTCTCATTAAAAAAGAGAAAATATTTTTTCAAATATTTTCACATCTATAGCTTTCCTTTTATATACAATTAGTAATATTTTGCACTGAATTCATTAAGAAAGAGTGAGAAATTATTGTATACTATATGTTCAAATACAATTTTTTTTCTTTAAATATGTTTATATAGTTGTAGAAAAAAAATTGAAAATCTAAAATTAAACTTGTCCAAAAGTGAAGAGAAAAATTCAAACAACAAGAATATTAAACATTAAGAAAATGCTTTACAATATAAATTCACTGAAATTATTCTATATTTGGGAATAATTGAATAAATACTCCATACATAAGTACATGCTTGAAGGAAGGAAATCATTAAATTTAATATGCAATCATTTTAATAATTAAAACATGAGAATGCAAAGAAGATGGCAGGTATGTTTTTCTGGATTTAGAGAGAAAAAAAAAAAAAGCAAAAACGTTAGAAAAGGTCTAACCTCAATCCTGGTTTTCAAATGACGTTCATGTGATTCCTTCAGTTTTTCTTTAGAAGAATAAGCTCTAACTTCATCTTTTAATTGCTGGAAAAAAAGGTGAAAATTTGTTATTGAAAGCTGAAAATACATGTGTAACAATGGCTAATTTATTATCTGAACATAATTTCAAATCTTATCAAAAATCTACTAATTCATTTCCAATTTTGTTTTTTTTTTTTATTCAAGGAGTATAAGTAGCCAGAGTTTGGGGACAAAAAGATAAGGTAAAACTAGCAAGAAAATATTTAATCTATAAAATAAGACAAGATTATTTAATGAGTTTTAGTTTGGCATCAAATCAAGGAATAATAAAACTCATTACAAGAGAACACTGAAAAGTTCTTGACCCACTTCCTAAAGTGGGATTTTTATAGTGGGAAAGAGTGTTCAATGATGTTGTATAGGATCCAGTGTTTCCCAGCAGAATGTTACTGAAGAAAAAAAATCATGCTACCTCCACAAGCTTGTTGTTCCCCGTCCTCACTGTGCATCGTAGTGTCATTACTTTCCTAAGAGAATGATATACATGTACCCTGTTATCCACCTTATTACAAAGAAATGAAATTCATCAGACCAAGTAAACTTGATACATGGTCAAGTTCCAAAAAGTTCATGCCTATTGAAGACACTCTCAGAAGTGAACATTAAGTACTGACTAGCCTGCAGCTTTGCAGCCCCATACAAAACAAGGGTCAATGTATTATATGTTATTCTTTCCTTCACGTTGCAATTTGTGCAACAATAACCCTTCTGGTGACTCATACTTAGCAGAAAAACCTATTCATATCTTACATTAAGTCTTGGCCCCGACTCTCAGGGCTTTGTTGCAAGGTGTGGGTATTTATTTCCTCAGACCAATGTATATAAGTACTTACAACTGAATGGGAATGTGACCACCCAGAAAAAAGCTATGAACCAACTTAGCATTTGGGTCATAATTGATCTTTGTCAAAAACATTCTTCTATTCCATAACTGCAACATTCAGCACATTAAATTGAAGTACTCAAGACCAGCTTACCTACTTATATAACTCTGACTATAACATGTACAGTACAGCTATTATAAATCTGCTGTCATTCTTGGCTCAGTAGTATAAATTAAAATTTGAGAGAAGCAATGAATAGTATTTACCTTTAATTTTTCTTCAAGTTGTTGCTCATTTATCTCAGCTTGCTTGTCTTTCTTCTCTACCTGTTTTTCAAGATCCTGGAACAACATTGTCGATTTAAAGTGAAAAACCAAAAAAATTTCTAATCAAATGTATTTTCATGTAGAAAATAAAAATTACCAGCCAATCACAAACATGACACACCAAAACTAATGTTTTGCAGCAAGTTTATAAAAAAATGAAAAAAATTAATATTGAATTTTTTTTTAACAATTTGTTTTATTTACAATGTAAAAAAAAAAAAATTACCTGATCAAAAATCTTAAATGATAACTTACTTTTATTTTGTCTTGAAGCTGGACAATTTTATTTTCTGCTTGCTGTTTGGTCAGTTCATCATTGGTCAGTTGGCTCTCAAGATTCTGAAAGGCACAATGAATAAGAAATTATTTGTTTTCCTCAAGTACTTCAGAGAAAAAAAATCTTATAAGTCAAAAAACAGTTTTAATATAGGTAGTAATACTGAATAACATTTCTTGTCTTTCTCACTTTGCAGTTCTTAACTTTACAGAAAATACAAGATTATTCTATCTTCTATCTAAAATCAGAATGTGAAACGTATCCTCTTGTAACATTAATATTTTAATCATTAAAATAAATCTTTTGTTAAGAGGAATTGCTTAATTTTTTATAAAATATGTAATGAAAGCATCAAATGTTTATTTGTGTCTGGAATATCCTAAAAATAATTTGTACCTTTGTTTACAGTAATTGAAGAAGTTGGTACAAATTATATTTCCATTTTATAATGCAAGGGGAATAAGAGTTGCATCAAGCAGATTATTTTTATAATGTAGGAATTTTACAAGACCTATGTTCAATTTGTACTACGGTTTTAAGACACCCAAACAACCATTTCTTTATCTTCAATTTCTCTGGATAGACTTTATTCTAAACCAATTCAAATTATTCTGCTTGTTGCTACTTCTTTCTTCTTTGCTTTGAGAATTTCTTCCTAAAATGTCAATTTAAAAAAAAAAAAAAAAAAAAAAAAAAAGAATAAAAAAGAAAAGAATCCAATATTTGTTTTGTTTAACCACAGGTTAGAAAGATTTTTATAACCAATGAAGGCTTTATAATTAAAAATCGAGTCAAATTTGAGATTATAGCTTGGAAAACTGTTTTTAATAGTAAAAATTATTTTAAAGATCTACTCTTGCTGCAGCTAATTCAATTGACAAGTATAGATTTTAATCCAGCAGTGAGAAAAAAGGCAATTAGAACTATTCAAATAAAATAAAATAAAAAAACTTTTACTTTACTATGGTTTATAAGAATATAGCTGTAGTAAAAGAGATAATCACCTACCCCAAAAAAGAGTTCATGTTTTGTGTGCAATCTGCTGAAGAAAAAATACTGAAAGTAGTTAGCAAAAATCTGCTACCTTAAATATCAGAATCCATGCTACTGTTCTTTCCTCTACTGAATGGCGTGGCCAATCAGAAAAATCGCACAGTGAATAAAAGCCATTGTAGGATTTTTCTGAGCTTGGCAGACGAACATGCGTTTTTTGCTGGTGAAAAGTGAAGGTTGGATTTGTGACCCCATTTTGTTGTTTCTACATTGCCTGTTGTACTGTTACGGCAGACCATCATTTGAACTGTGATTTGGCTACAAGTGTTGCAGCTGAGAAACAGAAGAAACCTATTGCAGGCATTTATTGCTAAGTTTACAGTTTTTTTTTTCTTTTCTACAACAATAGCTGAAGTAATAATTATTTTATTCAATTGAGTTGACACTGACAGATGAGAAACTTAAAAACAACTGAAAAACCAAGTTCTGTACAAGTAAATATTACAAAACAGATTTAAAAATTGTTATACTAATATATGAAGTAAATTAAAAGTATCAAACGTTTTTGAGAAGTTAAAGTATAAAAAAATGTAAGTTAATTTGTTTTAAACTGCACACACACACACACATATATATATATATATATATATATATATATATATATATATATTTTGTACATTGAGTGATGGTGCTAATAGTGTTCGATATATAATAAGAGATTAATTTATATTAATAACAGATATACATTTCAATCAGCACATGACAATTGCATTGTGTATGAAACTCAGTTGTACTACCAGTGAATATGTAAAAATATATAATTTGGAGAAGTTTATCACTTAGCTGAGTGGTGTTGGTTTAGTCATGCTTACTTCAAGAGAAGACAACAAGCCCTGAAGAGTGAACATGTTACCTTGATGTGATCACGAAATGAAACTATGTACTAACACCATTCAGCTAAGTGATGAACTTCCCCAAATTAATTCTATTAATGCTCTATCCTAACTTCTGATATCAAGCACTTTGACAAAAACCTGCCTGCCCAAAAGGCTTTTCCACCCAGAAAAAAAAAAAACAAAAAAAAACTAGCAATTCTAGTACTTAATACTATATATATAAAATTAGAAAAAAGGGTCCATGCGTGCTTCTTATATGTAAAATAGATAGGTTAGTTAATAAAACAAAGACAAATGAAAGTGTAGCAATAAAATCAGTATGATAAACATTTATTAAATATTAATTATTAACCATATGACAGAAATGAAGCACAGAGAGAAAGGTTTTAAGTTTGGAATTTTTGTACATGCCTATGTCCTTTGTTAACGGACCAAGGAATAAAGAAAAAAATGGGAATTACTCACTGACAGATGTTTTTGTAGATGGTGTATTTTCAGGTATTGTTTACAAAAACCTGATCTCTGTCTGATTCTCCTCACACCATTATCATGTCTAGACATGGACACTTCCTATATACTCTCCTTTCCCACCTCCTCCTCCTCCTCCTCTCTCTTACTTGTCTTCTATCTATTCTGTTTCTCTTTTGTTTCAGTTTTTTCCTTTACTTCTTCCTGGCTTTTAAAATTAGCCTTAGCTAGTTTTATTTTGATTTTCTTGTTAACCTGATGGATTTGAAAATCCTTGTAATTTAATTTTAATTTACAAGGTGAAATGATGATCATCAATATTATGGAGTAATCCTAATTGCTATTGTTTATTATATATATATATATATATATATATATATATATATATATATGCGTGCACACACACACACAACTTTTCCTCAAGATATACTTCGAAATGAATTTACAAATAAAAGCTAACATAAAATAGGCAGAACCAATATAATTTGTATGGTATAAATGCTGTAATTGATTAGAAAAAACAATTTAAATTCTTTACTAATTTTATAGCCATCAAAACTCATGAATAAAAAAAAAAAAAATTAAAAAATGTGAACACACGTATAATGAAATCATTGAAAAAAATTAGCAGTGACATTGCTCCCCTACCAACCAGGAGTGATAAACAACACTGACCTTCAGTCATCATTCCAACACTGTTTGCAATTGACTGCTGCCAGTTTTGTTTGTATAAACTATTTCAGTACTTCATGAAAAATGTCTGAAAAACTGATTTGAAAGTGATTTTTAAAGCAAGTTTGACAGCTATAATGTTCATAGCTGAATGGATTGGAAAAATTGAGTTGGTGTTCAATCTGTGTGACAAAGAAACTTCACAGGTTAATAGGAGTAGATAGGCTCAGCTATGGTTCAGCCTGCACTACTTCCATGTCTATTGAACAGGAGTAGAGGTTCATTCCTTGTTCCTTGTCCAGGATATGGTTTACTGGTTCTTTCTTTCTCTTACCAGGGCCACAATAATTTAAACTGTGTTAACTTTTTGGTGATCAGACTAACAAGTCGCTGTGACTTTCCCTTATGATGGTACTAGGTTAGCAGTTTGCTGGCCACTTCTTCTAACTGCTTGTTAAGAGCCTAAACTCTTTGGCGGTATTTAGGGAGGCTGCTCTGATCATCAGTTGCATAATATCGGGGTATCTGTAGTGCCATGTTATGCATAGGTAGGTGTCCTTGCATGTATTTCCATTGGGCAACCCTGAGGCCACATTATGGTCTGTTCTCAGCTTTGCACTGGCTGGTTTGTATTGCCAATGATGAAAGATGGTGACAATTATTATAGTGATCTTTGTTCTCCCTCCTTAAAATAAATTTCATGGAAAACAAAAAAGGAAATACAACTAAACCAGTAAACAAAAAAAAAAAAAAATCACCTACCCACCTCAACCTCTCTTTCTCCAATATTTGGGGTATCTGTTCCAACTTCTACAGTATAGAATGTTTTTCTATCGGAATGGTCACCTGATATCTTTGCCCTTTATTGAGGTTTTTTTCCTGGGTCAAAGTTGGCATGGAAGCTTTCATTCCTCTCTCAGAAAAAAAGGTGATACCTGAACTCTCTCCAAAATTCAAACCAGACTGCTCAGCTGCTATAGCACACAGGAACCACTATTTTTGGCTATACCAACATGACAACTCTCATCATAACAGGCACTTATTTGTTACTGCTCGTAATAAATGTAAGCGAATCATCAAAGTCCTTGTTTGCTGAGAGAACGAGACACCACATAGCCTCCTACAACTTTGGCTCTCATGATTAGTGGCAGCTCTGTAATAGGGTATTAAATAAGTGCAAGGTTTCTATTCCTCCCCTCTTCAATCGATTTGAGGTGTTATCATCCTCTGGCGTATCCCTGCCTAACTTCCCACTTAAAATGATTCTCTGTTGAGTGATATACATATAATCCCTTCCATAGTTTCTGCTATCATCTCTAACCTAGATCCCCACAAAGTATGTGAACCCAATGGTATCCCTGTAATAGTCATTAAGAAGTGTGCTCCTGAACTGGCCCTTATTCTTTCTAATCTATATAAAAATTGACTCACTGGTGTTTTGATTGGTGAAAGTCATCATCTGTTGTTCCAGTTTTTAAGAACTCTGGTGAACCATCCAACCCTTCCAACCATCAGCCTATTAGCTTTCTACCACTTTTGGGGACACTCCTAGAGGTCCTAATCAATGTGAAATTGGTTCAGCATCTCTTATCACAGGATCCTTTTTAAAAAAAACCAATATGGCTTCCATTTCTCCAGGTCAACTGCCAATGTACTGACAATAATTGTGGAAAAAGTCTATCAAACTCTAGACAAAAACGGTGAAGTCTGGGCTGTAACTTTGGAAATCTCAAAAGCCTTTGACAGGGTTTGGCATGCAGGTCTTCTCCACAAGCTGAAAAGTTACGGCGTCTCCGGACACATTTTTGAACTAATTCAGTCTTTCCAATCAAACTGAGAAATGAAAGTTATGTTAAAACGGCCACTTGTCTACATGTTTTTGTACTAACATGAATGTCACTCAGGGCTCTATCCTTGGTCCAACTCTGTTTTTAATTTTTTTCAGCAAGAGATCACTTACTTGAAAGAGAGACAAGCTGCAATCATGGATAAGGATTAATTAGAGAAGCTTGGGCCTTTTGGGGTCATGAATTAAGTCAGATTTCTTGGGAAATTAAATGAAAAATACAATAGGAACAATCATCTCTCCAAGCAAGAAGTGTTGATTGTTTTTTTTGTTTTTTTAAAATACAACATCCATAGACATCATTACTGGAGAAAAAGAGGAAAAAAATGTGTTTTAAAATTAATCCCCTCACAGCAACCCCCTCCCAATTTACAGCACATTTTTCTATTTCCATTCTATTTAAGATATAAAAAATGTAAATAATTTCATAAAAAAAAACTTAAAATACTATATAAATTTCATAATATAAAAACAAAACAATTAAAAAATAAGTAACAAATTAAAATTAAAGTGTAATGAATTAATAATAAAGATCAATAAAATACTATAAAATTTTTAAGCGGTACCTATAATAAATTAAAGTTTTATTATTTATCTAACATTTTTTCAATAAGTATCTTTGTAAGTAATGCTAATATTCAATAAAGCATTAGATTGCTTAAAATAGTTTAACTTTTTATGATATAAAAAAAAAAAAAATTCATGTAGTAATGAAGTAATTCAATTTGAAATACACCAAAGTATTTTCCTTATTGGCAATATTAAATTTAATCTATTATATTGGAATGAAAAACTAAAATAAAAGCTTCAAAAAATATTTTTCATTTTTTTTAAATGCATTTTAAAATTAGGGATATGTTTTATTTTTATGTACATTAATAAAAGCTATTGAATTGCCTGGCAAGACATGAGGTGAAACATGACATATACAAACTGTTATATATTGTGTGGGTGAGAGCAGCTAAGCCAATGCACTTCAGAATTTGAACAGAGAAGAGTCATTAGAATTTATCAATTTGATGTAATGTTAAGGATGTTCAACTCTTCAAATTCAATCAATGTATTCGAGGATATTTATTATATTCTCTGTGCATAAAGATATCCTTTTGGCTCAAACAACATTTCTTGAAACTCCAAAAGTGTATGATATAGTTTGCAATAAAGGGATCATCAGACAAAGAAGGGTAACCTATCTAGTTGACACTGTAACATTAAATGCTCCTTGGCCCATTTTCAATAATGAAAGAAATGAAAATGACTGCACTCTGTAAATAATGACTTACTGGATAGCAGAAATTTCTTTTTCTCTCTTTGGTTATCAAAAAGAAAACTCACTTTTATTTTATCCATTAAACGTCGTTCTTTACCCTCTAAAGAGGATTTCGCTGAATGCTCTTTTTCCAGCATGCTTTCCAGTTCCTGGAGAAAAAAAAAATTATTACAATAATTATAAATTAGTTGCAATTTAAAATTTCCAAATTTAATGTTAAAATGCTAGGGAAATTTCCAGATGAATGTGTCACAAATGAAACCTAAAACTGTTAAGGAACTATTTTCATTATTTTTGAATAAATACAAGATTCTATTATTCAGTCCAATTTTATATAATGGATTTCAGAGGAGAAATAAAAACCTTGCCCCAAATAAGCAAACTTACCTTTATTCTCTCTTGCTGACGACGTTCTTTGTTTTCAGCCAGTTTTCTCTCAGATGATTCTTTTTCTATCTGGATCTCCAGGTGCTTAAATAAAAAAACATTCCATTTAGCAAATGGCTAAAACAAATGAGGACCAATACAGTAGAAACAAGCACATATCATGGTCAGGTAATTTTGAAAAGCTTACCCACAATGTTTTTTTTTTTTCTCTTTTATACACAAGTACAAAAATAAAAAAATAAAAGCATTTTTTTTTATATCTCCTAACCACAAATCTAAGACAAACAGGTAATGTTATGTGAAAGCCAAAATCAAACAGTTACTTGCGAATTTGATATTAAAAAATAAAACCACTTAATATAAAATAATTATTGGTTCTTGAATCAATGGTGAAATTTCTCTCTACTGTTTGACATTCCAAAATACAGAATATCAACTTGGAAGGTGCATAGCAAGTAATGAAACTAATCAATAATCTTCTTAAAATAAAAATAAAACAGCCCATTTTGCCACCTCACCAGATAACATTAAAACAGTTTGAAATAAAGAAAAATCAAAACATGCTTTCCATTGTTTCATAAGAAACTTCATATGCCCAACTATAGTTGCTTAAATCTGAATTTGCATTGAACTGCTTATAATAACTTGGGTACCTCCATGAGATCACTAAAAAAGAGAACTAGTAAATAACATACAATTTTTAGCACATTTTTTTTTTTTATGACAGACATTAATTTGGAAAATCTTGCAAAAATAAAAATAATTGTCGGATATTAATGAAACTTTCATAAACTATTCACACATGATGGAAATTATTATAAATATTTTTTTTTTTTTTTTATTAAAGTCATAGCAGAAATATTTTTTTATACTTATTACCCCCCACAATAACTAATTTTATGAAAACTAAAAATTCAATCACAACTAGTTTAGTTAAAACCACAAGGCTTTTGAGGAAAGCAAATCATGTTTTTTTTTTGTTTATTTTTTTAATTGGACCTCCTTGCTTTGTAAATTGTATTGCTTTGTCCAATCAGAAGACCCGCAGTAATTAAGTAATGTAACTTTGTGTTCATAAAAAATCATTAAAATGGCTGTAATTAAAAAGTACGGAAGGTCACAAGCAATAAAATGTCACATGGCTTGAGTGTAAGCATTCTCCGCTGAATGTCAATTTCATTATTGCAAATTCTTAATGCGAAACACATTTTGAATTAGCATTTTTACTAATTAAAAAAATTTGAACACCATACTAAGCCATTTTCAGCAGCAACCTTACTACATTTTTAAAAGTACCATTTATTTCATTTACATATTTATTTGCAATTTCAATTTTGTGAAGTTGTTTTCAGTGAGTCATCTTATTTTAATTCTTCCATTACCAGGCTTCATTTTCATACAGAAATTAAAGTAAGTACCATTTGATTTTTAATTTTTTTTATATAGCTACTTTTTAATTTTTTTTTATATAGCTACTTTTTTCAATATATTTTTTGAATTTGATAATTGTCTTCATTGAGATTTTAATTCATTTACATATTTTTTCTTATAAATAAGAAATAGCAAAGAAAACATTCCCCACCAAGTACTGATTTTTTTGTCATCATTCATTTATTTATCAAAATACCACTATAAATTTTTATGTATTCCTTTTTTTTTTTTTGTTTCAATGAATATTTACAGTGCTTTGTGATTCATACTTCGCTCCTTATTAGTTTCTGTTTCAATTCTAGAATTGAAACCCAATGTTGACATTGTTTCTTCATTCAATTTATTCAAGTATTAATTACTAATCTCAGTTATGACATTTTTCCATAAATGAAATATTAAAATTAATAATAAAATGAACGAAAATACAAATAACACAGTAAAATGTAATAAATTACATAAAATTATAGTATTTTGTGTATACTTTTGATAAAATTTCATAAGAAAGGTACCTATAAATTAGTTAGATATCTTTCTTATGAAATTTAATCTCACTCTCAAGTCTTATTTTAATTCCTTTATAATATATTTGCCATAAAGCATCGTAAATGTGAAAGCTAAGTACAAAAAAAAAAAGAAAAAGAAAAAAGAGTGCTGAAAGTTTTCCTTAAAAATAATGAGGTAAATAATTTGTTCATTTAAATCTAAATTTCACTTCTCTCCTTCCGTAGAAAAGCTTATCCTCACATAAGCTGTCAATACGCAATGAAATTGTCATTCGTCACCTGTCAAGTGACGCGAAATGTTATGACCTGCTTTGTTTTATTTTCAAACTACATCCTTTTGGCACAGAAACTAAGTAATGCTTGTTCCAAAATATTTTAAATAAACCTTATAATTTCTGATTCTCTTAAAATAAGTTTTGAAAAAAATTATAATTGATTTTTAAAAGAATTTCAAACTGAGATTTTCATTTTTTTTTATAAAATGTAAAAAAATGGTTGACATGATTATCTGTCAATTTTTCTGACTGAAAAAAAAAAAAAAAAAAAAAAAAAAAACAAGATTTTTGGCAAAACTTTTGGACATGTTAGGAACGATTAAAAAATGTAAAAAAAATACACCAAAAATACTTTGATCTTTCCTCTTAATATTATACATTTAGACGATAAAGTTGTGTTTTTGTCAAGTTTGGTGTCTTTTCTGTCATACTATGCTCTTTTTTAGCGATCTCATAACTTATCATTGGCTTCCAAACTAACTGCACAAGAAAAACATTTTTTTTTGACAAACAATACAATATATTCATCGATAATATATGTCCTAATAGATTTTGGGATGGCTTTTCCATTTCACGAAAATGAAAAATGAATTTAAAAAGTAACTGATAATTAACGTTCTAAAATTTAATTTATTAATATTACTTTTTAATTTTTAGATAACAAATCAGTTTTTGTAAATTACTTCATTTAAAATCATATTACACCTCTGACTAATCAATTCACAGTAAACAAATTTAAAGCACAAATGTTAAGTTTATATATTGTTCAATATTTAATTTTAATATCATGATCAATTACCTACAGGTAGTTTGCTATTATTGGCTGCAAAAACAATCCAAAACTAAAACATTAAAATAACATTTCAGTTTATATTTTTCCAATATTGAAAGACACATAATTTAGATAAATGTCCGAGTTACCTTTCACAAAATAATAACAAAAGTACCTTTATTTTCTCTAAATGCCTACGTTCTTTGTTTTCGAGTTGTTTCTTTGTCGCTAAAGCATCATCCAGCTTAGTTTCCAATCCCTAGAATAAATTATCAAGAGGGAGAAACAAGACAAAAGCTTTTTAAAAAGTTTGTAAAAATAAATATAATTAAATAAAAAATATAAACAAAAAGTTATCAAAACAAAGAGCCTTGTGAATAAGAAATCATGCAAAAAATACAATAGAATACTAAGATTAAATAAATATATGAAAAACGAATAATTTTCAAAACATTTTGATTTAAGAGTGTTTTTTTTTATTCTTATACTTGGATTAGAAGTAATACTTTAGCAAGAGAGATTAAAGATGTTATTTGAAAAACAATGCAATATTTCCTGTAGACAAAATTTTGGAAAGATTCATGTATTAATCAGTTTAAGATGATATCATCATCATAGACTGCAAGAATAAAAACAGAAAGAAAAAAAAAATTCATTTAAAAATTTCTGTATACCTTAGAGGTTTCATGTAGTCGCCTTTCTTTATTCTCTGCAGTTTTTCTTTCAGAACATTCTTTGTCCAGTTCATGTTCAAGTGACTAAAATGAAAATGCAAGAAGTTTTCATTACAACTAGCAGAAATTTAGTCCCTAATACAGAACCTTAGGTGAAGGGGTAATGGAAAAAGACAACAATGAATTGAGAGAATCCTTTGATTACAGCTATGAGTATGTCCACAACTAAACTCAGAAGTAGTAGACTGGCCAGAGCAAAGAGAACTAAACAATTCACTTCAATATTTTATTTAAATTAAAATTTAATGGACTTGCCGTTGGCAGATTTTGATTATTTTATACTTACAAAATAAACTCTTGTGACTACACTCAAAACACAAAGTAAATGAGATTTTTTGAACATTTTTCAAAATTGGCCCTGACATTCATTGAATTTATGCTGAGAGACAACTTGAGAGTTGTCTAAAAACTTCTCGACCATACGGCAATAAAACTTCTCGACCGTACAAGATCTATAAAAAGATGCATTGCTTCTTGTTTAAATAACCATTGGTGAATATTGAAAAAGGTCTTGTTACAAAATGGATACATATTTTTTTGAATTAATATTCTTGATGCACTTCAAAACCTTCCAACAACCTGTACTACTATTACTCCCTTCCATATAAGTGAAAATGCTTCATATTTGATAATGGGCTGCAGGCAGTTCAAACTAAAGTTTTCATGATACTTTCTATGCAAAGTACTTCGTAGCTATTTGAGAACTGAACAACTGAGGATTTATCTGAAAAGAAGACAGTGGGCCAAAATTGCAAATCTGTTTATAATTGCTTTCTCTACTGAATAAAAAATTAGCTTTCTTCTGGTAGACAATGATTTGGAGATATACTTCTGCATCTGCTGTTGCATGGCCACAGAGAACATCATTTCCTCAGTCCATTACATAAAGAAATCTTTCTGACAGCCCAAAGAGTACAATTCATTAATGAAGTAAAAGCAGTTACTGAGTGTTTCTGTGCAACACTCACTGACTGCTTTTATTTCATTAATAAATTATACTCTTTCTGTTCAAATGAAGTAGAATTCCTAATTTTAATGCTACTTTAATTTATTTTAGAATTGGCCAAAAATGGTGCCACTCTGAAATTAAATGTACCTAGAGTGCAACCTACTGTGACATTATTGAATGATTATTTCTTTAGTTTTAATAGTAAATTGAATAATTACCATAGAGTATCTTTATTAAACATCAGATACGATTTAAGATTATGCTAGCTTCTATCAAATCTGTATATATATATTGACAAGACCAGAAAAGGATAATGCAAGAAAAAAACTGCCAACTTCACAAACTGTATGAGAAATTCTGCAGTAAAACTACTTGAATAGAGAAAGTTTATACTTCATTGATCTAAAGAAAATTCATAAACTGCTAATAAATGCAAAGAGTGATGGAATCTGCAGGAAAATGGCAAATGTTGACTTTCATTCCATACTCACCTTGACTTTATCAAGAAGCCTCTGTTCTTTACTCTCCAATAATTTCTTGCATGAAATTGCCTGTTCTAAATCACTCTCCAATTTCTAAAAAAAAAAAATTATTGAAATGGGTATTAATAATCATGGAAACAATTGTCTGCAAGAAGATTCTGAACAGTTTGTGTTTAATGAAACAGTTTTTAAGCAAAAAATTGTAAGTGATGAAACTTTTATTAAGGATTAATGCTGAAAACATAAGAGGCAGCAGAACTTCATTTTTTTAGTCAACACTTTTAGGTATACTTGGAACATTGGCCAAACTTGAAGGTATCATTAGGAATATAGTTATACCTGTAGTTATAGCAAAAACAAATATTGTCTTTCAATACAGTTTTGAATTTTTTCTAAATCTGAAATGATTCAAGTTATGGTTTGTTGAATATTGCCAATTTTTCCTGTTTTGTGAGCATATTACTTCAGCCAGCTCATCAGTCTTCATAAGTATTTATGCTTAAAATATGTAACAAGAGAAGCATATTAAACCTCAAGTTTAATAAAAATAATGATCCTTTTTAATATTGAAGTTTTAAAAGTTATTACATTAAAAGCAGCACAAATGAGACACTAATGCCATAACAAATTTTGAGAATTCTCATCAGAATATTATAAAGATTTAAAATAAATTTGAGTCAACTTTGACTCTTAAAATGATGAAAACACATTAATAACATGAACTAGCAAAGTAGAAACATATTAAGCTGATATATTTAAAAAAAAAAACTCAATCCTCTCCATTTCAGGTTTCACAATTGCATCTTTCAAAGGACACACGCATTTTTGTATGTGTACATTTAATTTTTGCCATTTAGTATCTCATACTGCAATGGAATTTTTAATTATGCTTTGACACTGCTTACTTCACTTTATATCTGAGCTATGAATAGATAGATTGATTTTAAGGCAAATAAAAAATAAAAAGTCCTACAGTGACATTATTAAGAAATTTGACCTCTTACTGTTACTGTGAATCTTTACATTCTTATTTCCTAGATAAGCTCATGAATATGCAAAATTTGAATCTTGTAATAATTTCAGAGATTCCTGGTGGCAGCAAAACAGGAGATGCAAAAGAATGCTAATAACATGGGATATTCTTGATAAGACAGGCAATAATGGTGCTAGTACAATTGGCAATGTTATGAGAGAATTTTTCACATCCAGGAAAGATCATCAACTCAGAGCTTTTTACATAATTGTAAAAATGTTTGTTTGTTTTTTTTTTTTTGCCTTTAATTCATTTCACCCCAAGCAAAGCAAACATTAGAGAGAGAGAGAGTGGACAATAAAAGAATAGGATTCAAGGCGATATAAGATTACAATTGATGTTGCATTTAAATTTGTCAACATTGTACTTCTAATTTCAAGGTTAGGTAGATTTTTACTTGGTATTTGATTAAACCTTTAAAATTACTATCTGGAGTTTTTGACAGTGTAATATGCCAAAGTCTGCTAAATGCCCTTAGGATCCACTGAACAGTCCTGGTAGAAAGTAAATTTCTAATTTACATTATTTATATTTATAACAGGACACTGTGGCACCATGCATAATTAGAAAACTGAAAAGAGATATTCATAAATATATGATTTGTTTTTTTCGGTTTGTTAACCATTTGATAATTATTTAGAGCTGAAAAAATATTTCGGGGTTAGGAATAATTCTTTCTTTACATTCAGGCGATCTGAGAGAAAGAAAGAAAAGAAGAAGAAAAGGAAGGAAAGAAAGGAGAAAAATAAATAATCTGAAACCAGGTCGTGGCGAAAACACACACGCTTCGACTGGCACATATCAGATGTCAAAAATATCAGGTCAAGCACCTGACCTACTTCTGTGTCCATGGAGGATGGAAGTTTGTTATCAATTTGGTTGAAGAAATAAAGTTTAGAGACAATGGAAAAAAATATGATAGGTAACAGGTGGGAAGTTTATCTAAGGATATACAGACAATCCATTAATACGAGAAGCCAGACAATTTCTGGAGTTGGAAAAAAAGCCACCCAGGGTGATGTCGCTTTTTGAGATAATACAGAATTTTATTATCGGCCGGAGGAGAATGAAATATTTTGTTGCGTTCAGAGAAAGCGCCGACAGGTCTAAGAAATCCCTTTCTTAGATCGTATCCAATTAGCGATAGACTGTTTGACAAATACCGCGTGTAAAAAGAAACCGAGATAAATCACGTTTAAAAGGACAATTTAAATTTTTGTTTCTTTAAGCAAGGTGTTTCTTCCCCCAGAACAGGGCCCGCGGATTGTCCACGCCCGATTAAAGACGTCCACGAAGGAAGGAGGAAAGATACCGACCAGAGTCTCATTGGCGGGCGGCCACATGATACATGAGGGAGGAGGAGAGACACCGACCAGGACCCCATTGGCGAGGCGATCACATGATGTGTGAGGGAGGAGGAAAGATGCCCGACCAGGACCCCATTGGTCGAGAGCGGTCACCTGACATCTGAAGGACCAGGGAAGTTGTATGGTAGAAGCTTGGTGCCCCACGATCCACAGAACGGGTCGGGAGGTAGGAATAATCTTGTGTAACGAACAATTAGATATAAAAAGTTGTTACCTTTTTCTTCAATATTTTTTGACCTTGTGAGTTTTATTTATCTTGTGTGTTATCACCCCCCCGTTGGACTCAGCTTGCATACGGCCCAATCCCTGTTTGATCCCGTCTGTCTAAGATCTAATCACAGCGTGGGTAGACAGACCGGAGATCAGTGTAGTTACCCTGGTAACCAGGCGTTGGAAGCGGGTTGGGAACAACGAGGCTGGTATTCATCTAGCCAAAGGGTTAGAGCGTCACACTTAGACAGCGAGGAGCGAGCGACACAGTCGGCGCTACGGCTCTGGCCTTCGAACAGCTGGCGTCGCGAGCAGCTCGAAACGTCGGCGCTGCGAACAGCTGGCGTCGCGACGGATCGAACGACACAGTCGGCGCTCTGCGAAACAGCTGGCGTCGAGCGAACGGCCTTTCACGAACAGGATCGAATCACGACACAGTCGGCGCTTCACGAACAACAGCTGGCACAGTCGGCGCTTTCTGAACAGGGATCGAACGACACAGTCGACGCTGCGACCAGGGGGTACGACGTCACACACTTAACAGGTTGATGTATAAAGTGGCAGAAAAATAAGTTGTTTCCAAAATAAGTACAATTTAAAAAAAGAAAAGTCAATCTTATTTAAATAAATTCTTTCACTTTTATTGAATGAGTGAACAAGATTTAAGCAAAAGTGAGTAAATCTTACCTGTAATTTTTCTATCATTTGTTTTTCATTACTTTCTAAGATCTTCCTCCCAACATTAATATGATCCAATTCTGTGCCCAATGTCTAGAAAACAAGGTCCATCATTAAATGAGAAACAAGAAAACCATTAAAATATAAGTAATTTATACAGAAAATTAATACTTTCATTATTGTTAATCACAGTCAACTAATAAGCGAGACATAAAAACATAAGTACTAATATACAAAATATTAAAATAGTATTTTCAACTTCAACAGCTAACAGTTTCATCTTTGCCATGTTTTTATGTGGAAGCATAACAGCTATGAGAGAAAGGAGGATCAGTGAACAGAATAAAAATTTCTGCCTGTTAATTTTTGTACTAATGCCTTTGGGAAAGGCATAAGCACAAAAATTCATTTCTTCTGTCCATTATGAATTAAATAAATAACAGTAGATTGGACTTTTTAAAACCTTGGGTGGTGCAACCATTTTAGAAGAACTCTGTATTGAAAACCATGAAGAAGGCAATGAAAAAGCAATTTCACTATCTTTCCCAAGAAATCATGGCAATTCACAGGTAATATTAAGAAAAAGGAATCAAGAAAAGAGGAACTGTCTACATCCCAAAGAGACATGGCATTAAGAATAATACGTGTACACACACACACACAACCCTAGGAAATATATTAACCTTTAGTTCATCCTGGAGACGTTGTTCCTTGCTTTCAAGTAATTTATTATCAACATTCTCCTGGTCCAACTGATTTTCCAGTTCCTGTGACAAAAGGATAAGAGTAAAATTTCATGATATTTTTAATACTTAGAAAAAGAAAATATTTATACTTTCAAATTAGCTAAACAAGTTAATGCTATATATTTGAACTTTAAAAATTTCTTGTAGTCTTTTTTTTTTTATTATTATTATTTGTAAATAAAACATTACCATCATTATAAATGTGATATTGAAACCTTAACGAGTAGTTTTCCTCTTCATATGTATATCTCTTTGAACAGTAAATATTTGTTCAAATTGGTTTCATTAAATAAAACAGTTAAATTGTGCCTATTATATTAAAATATTTTTCTCTAATTTTATTTAAAATAGAAGTCCATCACAGGATTTGAATTCTGTAGTTAGTTTTCAATTCAAAACACTTAACAGACATGAACTGAAGACAGTTCCTTGATAATTACAGTCTTAACATGGTAATTAATCAACCGAATAGAGGAAAATATTTTAAAAACAGGCACAATTTGTATATTAAAAAAAAATTTTGAAAATTGCTTTTTACAAGCATTTCAAGTTTAAATGAAAAAGTTGCACAAAGCTTCTTAGTCATAAATTACAATGAATAAAGCAGCTTTTTTATTCCTATGAGTAGAAACAGGGAGATGGCTGACCAATTTTACTTGTTCACCACCACCCCACTTCATACTACCTTTATTCTTGTGAGCAACTGTTGTTCAGTTAACTTTTTCCCTGATTCCCCTTCCTCCAACATTTTCTCCAGTTCCTGTGGGGGAAAATTAGTAAAATCATGTTCCTGCTTATGCTTAATAAGTCACATAAAATAAAATGAAACTTTAAGTAGTTTAAATGAAAAAAAAAAAAAAAAAACTTTCAGCCACAATAACTTACAAAGGCATAAAGAAAGAACTGTTGCAATTTCTGTATCTATGTTTTAAAATAAAAAAACAAAAAAATAAAACACTGATTTGGTTTGGTTATTTTACCAGCACATCAACTTTCTTAAACATTGTTGAAAGCAATCTAATGTGTGAGTATGTTTATATTGTTACGGACTTGTAGCATATAGATGAACCATGGGTTTAAAAAAAAAAAAAAAAAAAAAAAAAAAAAAAAAAAAGGAAAATGTGGGATCTTTTCTCAGTCTTCACTCAGAAATGGAAGCAACACAAGGGAATCAACGAAGGACAGACACAAGACGATGGATTTCGAAATAAAACATTTATTTGTAAATATATATAAAGAAATAAAGAAAGAAAAAAAAAAACATTCATTTAACAAAGGGGAAGGGGATCATTAAATAATAGAAGGTGCGAGCGAATACATACATATATAAAAAAAAGATCAAGCCAAGAGAATCAACTTATCTGTCAGTCGAGTCGATATCTTCACACAAAATTCTGATTCGCGCAAGCGAGAGTTCTTATGCTAAAACAATATTTTGACCAGCCGGCAATTTTCCCGGATTCCTTTTCTTTCACAAGTGTTCGATGGTCCACAGCATCTCGTACAGGCGTTTCATTGGGTTAATTCAGTTTCATAGCAGTCTTTTCATCCCTAGTCGGCAGACTTTGCTGTCTTCTTCATCTCAGTGGGACGATTTTGCCCAGCGATGTTCAACTGCTGCTGGTCAGAGGAAAACAATCCTTTTTTAGATTTTCGCTGTCCCCAAAGACAGTCACATGGGTTCCCTTCGTCCCTGACCGGGTACGCAGGAGGATGGGGCACAAATCACGCAGTGTTTGTGTGATGGCCAAAAGTTCAATACACGCTTAGTATGTTCTGATCACGTGAATCGCAGCAGGAGATCCTTATGGTGCCTGGAATTCACTTATGGTCAAATGCTTGATAGCTGCGAAATTTTGGAACAAGGTCATTCTCGCGCCGGGTCACTCAAAGTTCACGGGCCCTTTGCTTGTGGGTGGAAGAGTAGGTAAAGAGGGAAAGAATTTGTGAAGAGAAGAGGAGGGTATGGCTGATCATGGAACATATTCGCTCGCAAGTTGAAAGCATTGTATTAAATTTCTATTTTTATTTATTTATTTTTTTTTTTTATATCTAACTAATTTTCGACTAGAATTTGAGGTTTTACTTTGGGGTGCTCTTTAGCCTTACGCCTATATGGTTAATGAAATCGGGGCTACGTCACAATATATACACACACACACACACAAATTGATTTCTTTAAAGCAAAACAATATTTCAAACTAGAAGTTGAATCTGAATAAACTGACTCTTATTTTCTCCATTTGTTGCTCTTCTCTGCTTTCAAAGAACTGACGGTTTGCATTTTCTTTATCCACTTGTCTTTGGGTTTCCTGAAAGAAAGATTTGCATTTATTGCCATGAAAGGAAAAATGTAAACTGTAGACACAAACATTAAAAATTCTTTAGATCATACTTTACAGCTACAAATTCAATAAAAACAGACAGATTCCTCGAAATTGTAAAGTGAAAAATAACTAAGTATTTGCAGAGTATAATAAGGTTTTATAATGCTGGTTTTATTCTTTCAAATATCTTGGTAGTAATTAGATCAAATATAACAAGTATCTGGCATGTTAATGCAAACATAAGATTCACAATTGTAGAAATTAAAAATTATCTCACCTTTAACTTATTTTGGAGTTCCTGATTTTCAGCATCATAAACTGTTTTGAGATTATCTCTTAAAGTCTGGAGTTGAGAGGAAAAAAATGCAGTAGAATAAAATTAATATAAATTGAAAGCCTGGATGACAAATTTAGTTTTTTTAAAAAGAAAAAAAAAATCCTCCATTAATGTTATATAGAGGCAGGGTAAATTTCATTTTGCTCCAATTCAAATTGTGTAAAAAAAAAAAAAAAAAAAAAAAAAAAAAAAAAAAAGTTAAATTTACTTTGGGTAGCTCTTTACAATAAAGCTATTGAGATGATACAGCTTTTCTCAAAAGCTTATAAAAGCTCTTGAGAAAAACCGTTTCAATTGTAAAAAATGAATAATTTCAATAAGCAAATTTTTATTTTAAAATCTCTCAATGAAACCTGACATTTTTTATAATCAATCCAAACTGAAACATTGATTAACGCATGGAATTATATTTCTTTTAAAATTATAACCAAGGTAAAAATATGCACTATGTAAGAAGCAATTGTATCACAACTTATATAATCTTGCACCACTTTCATTGTTTAGATGTAATGTTGTGGCTGAAAGAATTTTCTTTCAGAAAACTAGAATAATCATTTCCAAGCATTTGAATTCTCATGTCATTAACTTTTAAATGAAGGAATAAAGACTAAAGTAACTCCTGCATGAACTAGGATATTGCTTCCTCAATCTTACTGATGCCATTTTCAATATTCTCTTAAAATATTTTGATTAATCTGTCAAAAATGAATTTTTTTTTATAAAAGTGATAAACAGAAAAATACTCTTAATTATCCTTAGTTTACTCTAACATTGGGAACCGATTAAAAATTGAACTCTCTAAACTAGTGAAGAATTCAAAAGAATGTTACTAACCATCACTAGAACAGATGTCACCCTTACTTACATTGTAAGAATTCATAATAAATTAAACATTTCAATAAACAGTAGTCACTCTACAACAAAATGACTAACAAGATCCAAAGTCAATGTGTACTAATAATTAGAAGGCATTTATTTTAATGCTTGTTCTTATTCACTATACATGTTAAAATAATCTTTATCTTGTTGATAGTCAACTTATTCTGTACATTTCCTAATGATTAATAAGGTTCCATATCTGGTAAATGCAGTTTAATTCCCAAAGAATGAAAAGCATAAAAATACTTGACATGACAGTATTAACAATATGGATGAGGGGAGCATGAGAGGAACTTCCACTGACCCAAATTGACAAAGTTCTTCCTTACCTTGATCTGATTGCGTAATTTCTTTACTTCATCCTGGTAGGTATTCACTTGCTGCAATAAGCTACATTTGAGTTCAGCACTGGATTTCTCCCATTGCTTCAGCTCTTGCAGTTCCTCCTCTAAATACTACAAGCAAGAAAAAGGTGGACAGAATATGTATTTGTAAAACTGACACAATATTACAGATTTGGAATGCTCAGCAAAATTGAGCACTCACTCAAAAGCTTGCGATTGAGAGACTAATGTCAGATGTAAATAGGATAGGACTTTTCTCTCATTACACAAAAAAAGGGAAAAGTTACCTCGATATTAGCTTGCTACTTTTCTTTCTTTTGTACAAAATGAGAATCAAGGAGGTGAAGACCTACTTTTTAGTAAACTATTAGTGGCCCTAATCAACTGATTTTATTAAGCATCTCACATCACAAGGTGTTCTTTCAGACAAGCAGTACAACTTTTGCTTCTTTATGTCAACTGCTGATGTACTAAAGATTATTGCTGAGAGTCAAGCTTTAGATAAAACTCTGGCTGTTGCTTTGGACATTTGACAGCATTTGTCATAGAAGCCTTCTTCATAAGTTCAAAGGCTATAGTATTTCCAGACAAATTTTTGAACTAATTCAATTGTTCTTATTAAATCACAAAATGAAATTTGTCCTGAACAGCCACTCTTCTAGATCTTTTTGTAATAATGTAGGTGTCCCCCCTGGGCTCTATCCTTAGACCTACTTTGTTATTAATTTTCATCAATGACCTTCCTCATGACAACCATTTACTCCTATCTTGATAGTAAGTGTGATCAGTTTGATAGGGTCAAATTGGAAGCTGATCTCAAGAATGATCTAGTCTGTTAACTGGGGCAAGGAATGGATTGTTAATTTTAACATCTCCAAAACAAAACTTTTCTATCACTTGAAAGACATCTTGCTTCTTATCAGCATGGCTGATATTAACCTCCATGAGAGTGACTTGTTGCACCCTCTTGGTCTTACATTCTTGGCTGACACAAAGTGGAAAGATTGTACTAAATCCATTGCTAGGTCTGCTGCTGAAAGTTGGTTCATTGTGTTGTGCTAGACAATTATTTTCTCCTGAATCTATATTTAGTTTTAAGCCTACCATTCATCTTTGCTTTGAATATTGCTGCCACATATGGTCTAGTGTTCTTGAAGTATATCTAGACAATATTGATAAAACCTAAAGAAGAATAAGCAATATTATTGGCCCCAGTGTTTCCACAGATCTGTGTAAAATAAATTCCAGGACTTTTCAAGGATTTTTCCTGGACTTTAAGAAGTTTCAAGGACTGAACCTGGCGCACATGTGCACGCACATTTCAAAAACAAACTTTGTGATTTATCTTTTAATAGTTTGACAGATGAGATGTTCAAAGCTACAGCTGGTTCTAATAATTCAGGTCACATGGATCAGTTGAAAGCAGTGAATAAATACAAGTGTTGAAAAGTAAAACACAACTGAATGCAGATCTGGTTATGTTACACATTTTGGAGTTCTACTAGACTTGAAAATTTTGAATTACACATTTTAATTCTTATTGCTACACATTTCAGCTATCGAGACTAATTTGTGAATGTCCCAAAAATTCTTGACTGTTGCACATTTCTTGAGAAGTATAATGATTTTAATGAATAGAACTACAAATAGAAATTTTCACAAAAACACTACACATTTTAGTTACTCCTACTACACATGGCTTTTGTTGCACATGACACAGAATACAACGATGGCAAGATTTTTTCAGTTCATATAGTTTAGCATTCAGTTTCTCTTTCAATTTAGATATCTATAGATTTGTCCTTTGCATGGCATTGGACTTTGCAATAAGTTCTAAGTGTGCTCAGCTTTCTCCACATAGCTGACTTGAGCGAATCATGTGTGCAACTCTCATGCTAATGTTTTTTGGTCTTCAGTTCTTAAAATTTCCATAAGCATGGATTTCTGTTTTTGTCCAGCTGCTTTTTCCTGCCTTTTTTTTCTTCTCAGCCTCAAAGTATTGGTTGTATGCTATTATGGCATTGGAAGCACTACAAAGAGCCTTAGCCATGAGAACATTCCCAGCACCTCCGACTGTGGCCATATAGTCCATTATGTGTGATCAGAGTCAGTTGTTTTATATTGTCAGTGGAAGTTTCCTTATTGACTGTGAAACCTCTCTCCACTGAGACTTGAGAAAGTACCAGCAATTTACAAACAACTTTCCACGTTTTTCTTATATTCTTTGTTGCTAGACAAAAGAACTATAAAACAAAGTGTCCAGACAGTCTTTATGCTTGCTGAAATTCTTGAAAGCAATATCTCCTCTTCAAACTCTTTGTACTGACTGAGGATGTCATCACACTCAGATTTGCCAACTTGTTTTCTGTCCATCATCTTTTTAGATTGTCTTCTGCGGCAGGTTTTTTTCTTCACAAATTCATCCCGGGTTCAGCAATGCAAGTGACCTTGTAAGAAGGTATGTAAGAGGAGGAAACTTTGCCAGAAGTTTCTCAATGATAGTGATGAACATTGTCCTTGTTGCAATTCTGCATGCAAACATATCTTTTGTTGACACATTTCCTTTTTTGGATAAATTTTGCATAGCCTAATCTGTCAGAAATCCACACACAATCTTTGCAACATCTGCATGTTTGGATTTGACAAAATTCTTACAAATTCATTCATTTTGGAAAATGTAATTATCTTTTTAGTGTGCTCTTCCTTTCTAAATATTAATTTTATGACCACGCTAAATAGGTCATTTTCAAGGAAAGTGTAAGCATTCTGAAAGCAAAAGAAATATTTGTTGCAGATTAATTCCACAACGCAGAGAACAAATGACTAAGTTCAGACTCGAATATGGGGTGCAGAAAGAAATACCGAAAACTTGATTCACAGGTACTATCTCAAATCCCAATGCACATAACCAGTCAGAAAAATAACTCACTCGCCGACAAACACAGTAACCAAAATACATCAGTTTATCCTCTCGATTCGAGAACACCAACTACTTTTATCGGCCGAGCAGTTTTTTCATTTGTCAACAACTGGGAGAGGACACCAAGTATTTTGCATAACAAAATACTTTTATAGAGACTCCTGCGACGGACTTGTTTTTAATCTAAATATTCCGTCTTCAGCATGTCATGCGGAATACGTGCCCTGTTTTTTGGTAAGTAATTTCCTTCTCCATCGTAGGATACACAGGATGCATTGTCGGTTGGTTTGACGAGGTAAGTTGTCACTATAGAAAGGAAGCAATGGTTTATTGCTCTAATATTTTATCAGAAATGGTTCAATGTCTTTTGAAACAGACACAAAAATTCTGCAATTTCACTGGAAAAAAAAACGTTATTCCCATTTGACAGCACTGCAGAGAGACATGTCTAATATATATATATATATATAAAATTTAGACATTATGTCTATTTATTTTAGTTTTAATCATTTCGAGTCAACAATTTAGTTTTCTCATGGCTGCAGAAATTAATTTGTTGACTTGAAAGTACTAAAACTAAAATAAATATGCATAATACCTCTACATTATTTAACCAAACCTGCTTGAATGAAAATAAGCTATATATATATATATATAAGGGATGGGGATGTTTTTTAATTTCTGAACATGGAAGCACATTGTGGTTGTGTTCATAATTGACATTATTGAAAGTTGGTTTGGTGTTGTGTTTTACAGCATATGGGTTATTTAATGCTGACAATCACCCCCCCCCCCGCCCCCAACCCGGTAATATTTTGTTTTGTCAAAAATCTATTTCTTGTAATATTTTTTCCTCAAAAATGTATAGCTGGTAATATTTCAAAACATGTATTGCTGGTAATAATTTTTTTTCTTCTCTTTTCTTTTTTATATTTTTATAATGCTTTTTACCTCAGTTTCAGGGTTAACTATTTGCCCATAGCTGGGACCCTAACAGGTGCTACCACCCTGGGTCAGGGTGGATCAGGGAACACCAGAAATTAAGAGGTGGTTCCATGCTCCTCAAAACTTCCTGATCCTTGAGTTTATTGTCTTACCCAGGACGCAGATGCAGTTTATCATCATACCCAGGACGGTTATTGAAAGTTAGCTTACAGTTTTTACACACTATGTCCAAAAATGAAATCACTTGTACAAATGCAAGAAAAATTTAATAAAAAGCTTAAACACAGTGCTTTTTCAGCAGTATTCAATGAAACTTGTACAAAAAGGGGAATACTTCCCCTCTCTCTCTATGTGTGTGTGTGTGTGTGTGTGTGTGAATGAAAGAGACGTGTGTAAAGACATTACCTTTATCTTAGACTCCAAGGCTTCTTCTTGGTCTTTCCATGACTTTTCTTGGTCATCAGCTTTATCAAGCAGACTCTGAAAAAGAAAGTAAACTGAATAATCATATTAGTCAACTTAATAACAGATGAGTAGCTCTTGTTTTTTTTTTGTTTTTTTTTGTTATTGTCTTGTGATGTCATTAAGCCATATCATACATTAGTGAATCAAATCATCAGCTGACAGTGAAGGTCATCTAATTGAAAGGCATATTGTAATCCTTTCAGCTGTTTCACAAGTCCATTCAATCTGGCTTGAGTTTATATTTTTCATATCTACTGTTGACCACCTAGAAAAGAAAACTCCTCAGTGACAACCAGTATAGATTTCGGTTGGCTTGATCCACTGCAGACGTCCTAACTACAATCACTAACAGAATCAGTGAGGCTGTTGATGACAAACACACCTTGAGGACTATAGCACTAGATATCGCAAAGGCCTTCAACATGATGTGGCACAAAGGCTTACTACACAAGCTCTCTAGTTATGGAATCACTGGAAAGGTCTTCTCAATCATAAAAGCCTCCCTAACAGGTAGATCCCTGAAAGTAGTTATCAATGGCCAGTCCACCAGAGCCCTGGACCAACCCTTTTTTTGATGTACATAAACAGTCTGCCAAAGAATATACTCAGATCATTTGTAAACATCTATGCCAATGATATGATATATGGGTGCACCTCTAAAACTCTCAATGGTCAGAGATTGGCAGCTGATCTCTCTTCTGATTTTTCACAAATAAAATGGAGTAAAAACTGGCCAGTTATATGCAAGCTAGTTATATTCTATCATCGCCAATTTGACCACAAAATACCACCAATCAGGATGAACAGAGGTCTTCTCAGGGAAGCACTGTACCTTGAAAGACTGTTGGACTCACAATCAACCTCAAGTGTAACTTGTACATATGATCCATTGCTAAAGATGCAGGTAAAAATGGTCAGCTCTCTATACCGCTCCAGTAAGTACCAGACTCTTGTTATCATCTACAAGGGCCAGATCAGGCCAAAAATTGAGTTCTGCTGCCCAGACCTCACTCTCCAGCCTTAAGTTCAAAAGTGTCTAAAAGCCCTTGTGTGTGACAAATCATTCTCTACCTTGCACCCCATCTCCCACAGGTGGGATGTGGTAAGCTGCTCTACTGCTACTTCCATGGAAAGTGCTTGAACAAAGTATATTCCCTGGTCCCGCCAAGTCAAACCTTCATGGAAAGAACACACCATGCTACTTACATAGTAGCAAACTACCCAAATTCCCACTGTGTTCTATCAGTGTAAGTTCCACTTGAGCAGCTTCTTCCCACAAACTACTGCCCTGTGGAACTGACTCCCAACTGGAAGTTTCTCTGTTCACTACAATCTTAAAATATTCAAGGCTAGGGTTAACAGTTATCTTCCACTTCTATACACACAAATGGCCTCCAAACGTAACCCTCTACCTCAAGTGGACCCTGTAAAGGATAAACCTCGCTGTATAAAAAAAAAAACAACACTTACTGCCAACCACAACATTTGTGAGGCACAGACAAGGGATGTAGACTAAAATAGCTGTTTACTTGGTTAAATACTTTTAGAAAAACCTATTTAAAAGAACATTTAACTGATAGACTCATGTAGCTGTTAGGAGGAATGTAATAAGATCCTTAAGCAAAGTTGGTTATAACAAAGGCACCTCATGATAAAGTAATGGTCAATAACCTAGTATTACAGATCACTACTACAATAGTAAGTTTGATCATCACTGGATGTCCCATATATGTTATACTTTACAATAATTAGATCCCCTGATCCAATTTTCATTTCATGTCAAATTTGAGCATCACATCCGGGCCACAAAACAAATCTCTACAATTAATACAATAGCCAATCACAAACATTCCCACACACATACAAAAAAAAAAAAAACAAAAAAAAAAAAAACAAACAAACCTCATAATGACCAACACAATTGGAGGCTGAAAGGCCACCAGTCATCATTCAGGCACACTGTTGCTGTCACTGTCATGACACACCCCAACCCCAAATACCTTAACTATCTACTCCAGGCCCCCTTCATTGTCATCACCACTGTAACCCCATTCAACCAGAATCCAACAGACATTCCACTCGATCAATCAACCTAACTGTGACATTGACTAACAAACCCTACCAATAACACAGCAAATAAGGAACCACATATGAAAAAATTTTTGCCACAACTATGTACATATTCTGAATTTTGACCAATACACATTGTGTTCCTTTGCAACCAAATAGTCATCATAACATATGTAAAAATCAGTCAAGCTCATTAAATCTCTTAAATCGAAGAGTTTGTGTGAATATGTGTAAGAAAATGTTTGCCTTGAATTTATGAGTTGTTGTCAGGAGAGGAAATGGTCTCCACCAAAAAGTAAAATGTTTTTTCTAGCTTCACAAGCTGCTGTGAACAGAGAAATAAGAGTCAATGAGAGTGAAGTCAGTCATAGCCAGAATGGTGTAGATTCAGGTACCACTGGCACTAGTTTCTTAAATGAAGAATACAATATTGCAGACAGCAAAGTTGTTTGAAATTAGAATATGGAGAGAATATAAACAATATTAAAGCCCGATTTTATAAACAATATTAAAGCCCAATTTAAAAAACAAAAAAAACATATGAACAAAAAGCCATAGTCATTATCATTTAAAGAATTTTGTAATTTTTGTTGTTTTTAAACAGAGCATACCTGAAAAAGATGTAAAAGAGATCAAAAGATACACCAAGGGAATAACACAAAATGACAGTGAGATCAATTGTCTGAAATCTCTTTGAACAAAAAAAATTGAAAAATGAAGAGGGAATTAAAAGTGATATTTACCTTAATCATGTCTTGTTGCTGTTGTATTTTTTCTTTGCTCATAGCTAATTGTTCTTTGAGAGATGCTGAAGAATCAGTCAGCAATCTTTCATTTGTCTTCTGACGCTAAAAGTGTTAAAAGAAAAAAAAAGAAGAGTAATATCAACACTTTCTTTAATACAGGGTAAATAAAAGGTTCAAGTATTTATGTGACACAGGATACAGAACAACTGGTCACTGTTAAAGAGATTTAAGCAAAACTAACAAAGAAAGAATTTCCAGTAGAGTTTAGACATGATGAAGCAGCCTTTGCATATCTGTATTAGATAAGCAATTTCTAAAACAGAATTGGCCAATGAAATTGTACATTCAGCCTCTAAATCAATTAGAAGTATTTTCCAGTTGAACTGGGAAAATATTTGAGATTTTAAAAATTCAAAAAGGTTACAATAGACAGTTTTTCAAGATTTCAAAAGCAAGCATAGGTAATTTCATCGAAAACAGGTTTAGATGCTCCAATTTTCAAATATACTCACTGTAAGTTCATCTTCAAGCCTTTTCTCCACTTGTTTTCGTAATCTACTTTCTGTCTCATATTTTTCAACCAAGTTCTTTGTATGGAAGCAAAATAAACAAAATTCAAAAGAACAAAAATAAGAGGAATGATTTGGAATTTTAAATATCATCATGGAGGAAAGAGACAATTTTTATCAGAGTTTTGAGATGTGGCATTATTATAGGATTTGCTTTGGACCAGTATGCTCATTTTGGTGGTTATACTCAACATTTCAGACATTGTAACTTCCAGCATCTGTCTTTGTAACATTAAAAATTCAAAGCGAACACTTTATTCAATCTACAGGGGACTTTGTTCACATTCTGCTTTCCATGCTTAAAGAGTATTTCATATCATTTAATATTCACCAGTATTATTCACTTTTATGTAATATTGCTAAGCATGGAAAGCAGAATGAGGATTATTTGGATTGAATAAAAGATTTGGTTTGAAATTACAAATTATACAGATGGACACATGAAGAAGGCTGAAGAGTACAAAAGAAAATGTTGTGATCTGGATAGTCAAGTGCAAGATAAAGTAATCTTGTCAGCATATGTTGATAAAGAGACATATTTAACATTTTCTTTTTTCCAAAAATACATGCAAAAATGTTTGCATCAAGGATGTATTTAGAAGAATTTTATAACGTTTATGAATTAACTTTAAAATAACTGGTTATATTATTAAAACTTTTTTTCATTTTTTTGGAAAGTTCAGAAAATAATGAAAATTCAACATTAAAACAACAAATAAGAATACAGTAACATTTAATTTTTTTTTAAAAAGAGAAAAGAGAGAGAGAAGAGAGAGAGAGAAGAGAGAGAGAGAAGAGAGAGAGAAAAGAGAGAGAGAAAAGAGAGAGAAAAAGAGAGAGAAAAGAGAGAGAAAAAGAGAGAGAAAAGAGAGAGAAGAGAGAGAGAGAGAGAGAAAGAGAGAGAGAAAAGAGAGAGAGAAAAGAGAGAGAGAAAAGAGAGAGAGAAAAGAGAGAGAGAAAAGAGAGAGAGAAAAGAGAGAGAGAAAAGAGAGAGAGAAAAGAGAGAGAGAAAAGAGAGAGAAAAAAGAGAGAGAAAAGAGAGAAGAGAGAGAGAGAGAAAAAGAGAGAGAGAAAAGAGAGAGAAAAAGAGAGAGAGAAAAGAGAGAGAAAAGAGAGAGAGAAAAGAGAGAGAAAAGAGAGAGAAAAGAGACAGAGAAAAGAGACAGAGAAAAGAGAGAGAGAAAAGAGAGAGAGAAAAGAGAGAGAGAAAAGAGAGAGAGAAAAGAGAGAGAGAAAAGAGAGAAGGGCATCTTCCAGACTTTTGGCCAACATTAAAATTTGATAAGTTTAGCACAGCATATAAAACATCTTTAAGTACAGGCAAAGAGTGACTGTAAATTAAAAATATAGTTTTTCATTTTTTTTAGCTGTATTAATCTTAATGCAAATTACTACAAAATTGAAAGCAAAAGTAGAAATACCTACATGCTCAGTATAGGCATCAGTTTGGTACTTTCTGCCATCCTGACAGAAATGACATTTTTTATTCAACAACTGTTCATTCAATTCCTAAAGAAAAAATATAAACAAAGTAAAATTCTAAAACTACTACATATGAGAGTGGATCAATAAATTTGTAATCTGACATAGCTCTTAGTTAAATTTTGATGTGAAATTTTCAGTGTGTAATTTTCCAGCTATGATTAAATGGAAGATGCATTGATAAAGATGATATGTTGTTAAAATAAGTGTTTTTTTTTCCTTATTATTTCAGAATGTAAGACACACTGGTGTATAAGACCCACCCTTATTTTGAAGACAAAGTTTTGAGAAAAAAATACTACAATTGTATTTGAAAAATTTTTTTATTGAACAAAAATTCAATTTGGTACTTTAAAATTGTGCAGAACTAAAAATAGAAATATAAAGTACCATAAATCATAAAAAATGTTTTCCGATATTTAATTTGGCTTAAACCTACAGATTCCTCATTGCTTTATCACTTGGAAAGCAATCAGACATTTCATCATTGAACCCAATATTATGAACAAAGAGAATCTCATCCTTGGTCCTATCCATTCTCATAACTAGGCCTTTGTATTTCATGAACTGATAACATGACAATGTATGATCAGTAAAATCTAAACTATTATCACATTGAATCCTCTTTACTTTGGGTAGTCCATGCCATATGTAATTCACAACCCATTCATGGTTTATTTTTGAGATCTTGCCATTTTGTTTTTTTCTTTTCCCTTGGAAATTGTGTTTATCACTTTTATTCATTTTTCCAATGTATGAGAGGAGAATAGATTTTCATACTGACAGCAGAGTGATTGTTGCAAACAGTAAGGCTGGGGATTATATCCAAGTGGCAATTATTCTACATTTGTCTTGAGCAACTATAGCAATGGAATGCCAGGAATAAAATGAATTGAGAGCAAAAATTAGTAGTACTGTGCAAACTGCAGGTGCCCACAAGTGACCCAAAATATCCCATTACAACTCTAACACCTAATAAATTTCATTTTGGATTCAGAGTTCTTAAACTCTAGTACCTCAAATTTCATCTATGACATGTTACATTACCATTAGTGATGCAAATGGAGGAACTATACATTATTGGGTAGATGTTTAACATTTTGGGACTAGAGTTTAATTACAATTCTTCAAAACCACAGCAATACTTTAAAACATTAAAAGAGCAAGTTGATCACAAAGCTCTTGGATATATAGTAATATATCTTATGAATGCAGTAATAAATATGAAGTTTAAAAATCCCCCCTGATTAACTGTAAAAATGTAATGTTAACGGAATACAATACAAACCAAAAAAAACAAAACACTGACCTTTTTAAGAATTTTAAATTATGGATAGCTTTGAAAACTTTTGGATATAAAAATATTTACATTTTCTACTTACTTTAATGAGATCCTGTAGATCAGTTATATGTCTCTCTTTTGTGTCAATCTGTTGTTTCCATATTTCCTCTACATTCTGCAATCTGGTTAAATCCTTTCTTTGATCTTCTAATGATTTTCTCTTTTCCTGATTAAGAATAATCATAGAAAAAAAATTAACAAAAAAGCAACAAAAACCAACTAAAACTGAAGAGCCTTTTTATGCATATAAAAAAAATGACTATATTTTTAGGTTTTTAAATTAAACAGGAAATGAAATCTTAAGAGCAGATAATAGTCAATTATTTATTAGAGCAACTTACTTTCTCTATTCATTAAGAAAAAAATTCTACTTACTTTGTCAAGTTGGTTCTGAAGAGTCTTTAGCTGTTCATGACTGTCCATCATTTTCTTCTGGCACTGAGCAATCACATGATCTTTCTTTATGAGTTGCTGCATCATTTTGCCATTTTGGCCTTCAAGAACTTTTATTATCTGCTTCAGTTCATCAATTTTGGCACTAAACAGTTTTTCAAAAACAATTTTTTAAAAATATCTATCAAATGCTTGTTCATAGCAAAAACATTTTCATATAAGATCAGGATAGTCTTTTCTAAAAAACAACGGGATGCATTTCCCAACAAATTTTCTTAAAAAGTTTGCAAAAACTCATTTAAACTGTCAATACTGTTAGTTGTGTTTGATGAGGATTCTTTTGTTATAAGTAAATATGAAGGAGTTCTTAAATTGGATCTTATACTTTTAAAAATGTCAGGATTAAGCATGTTAGTTTTAAAAAAGCAAATTCAAAGGAAGCTCACCAAGTTTAAAGAAAACATTTCAGTTTTATTACATAAAACTTATTAAATTAATTTACATTTCAAAGAACATTATTTTATTCAGTTTCTAGTGCCTTTAAATTTGTTGCTTAAAAGTTTTGTACTTTTTTAAATATTGTCAAAAAAAAAAAAAAAAAAAAAGTGTTAAGAACTTCTTGAAAATTATTTCATCAAAATACAAAATGCCGTGCAAAACATCTGCCTACCTAATTAAAAAAGATTTTTTAAAAGGTCTAGAAAAAGGAGAAAAAAAAACTCACTGTGTGACAGTACATTTGATCTCCTCTGCTTCTTTTGTGAAGGTATTGATATCATTCAAAAGTGAAACACCTTGTTCATGAACAACTCGTTTGGTTTCCAATTCTTCTTCAAGTCGTTTAAGTAGCATCTACAAAATAAAATAGTTGAAATATTTTGCTATGTATGAGAAAATCCAGTTATTAAAGGCACTAAAAACTGAATAAAATCATGTTTATTATTAAAATCCAGTTAAGTCCTAAATAAAGATAATTATCTTGTGAAATTGGCAATTATCATAAAAGATGTAAGAGATTTTAATTTTTTTTTAATGAAAATTCTTTAGGTATATAACCTTTTGTTTTTTAACAGGGAATAAAAGATTTTAAAAAATAATACTTTTCTCACGGAAGAGGACCTAATTATTAAATATGTGTGCATAAATATGATCACCATGTTATTCATCCACCTTCCAACCATTTCCTAATATGTTGCTGCTTTAATTAATGACTGCCATAATATGAGCATAACAGTCAGGCTTGGACTTTTGCAGGTACAGTGGTGTGTGTGTGTGTGTGTGTATATATATATATATATATATATATATATATATATTTTCATAAAGATAAATAAAAATCTTATTAGGAGGTACAAAATTTATTTAAAGTGAAGAGGAGGAACAAGTGAAAAAAATGAGAAAAAAAAAATAAACAGAAAAAAAATACTATAGAAGAACTAACCAGCTATTGCTCCTCACTAGTCAGAACTCAATTGAAGACACTAAGATATTGTGAATACCAACTAAAAGAAAACATGAGGAATGAAAATACACATGTATTAATAATATGACACAGGTGTGTGTATATATATATATATAGACAGATCACACTTAATCCTAACAACCAATCCATTTTGCATAAGGATGGTTATTTTGATTTAAGATAATTTATCTCAAGCACTTTCAAGTGATCGTTGGAATGTGATTGGCTCAAAACTGAGAACATATCTTCATGGAAGGATGATGCACATGCCCAATTTTTAAGATGTTCCCAGATTGCTAAATTAGATGTAATGGAAAACATATTTCGGAATAGATTTTTAGCATCGATCAAGAAGAGAACAGATGTGAATTAGCAGAAAAATAACATTGTCTGACACATGACAGACGTAATATGTAAATCTCATACCAATCTAAGATATGTAGAACACTTTTTTTGTAAGCATTGTAAGTGTGTGTGTATAAATAATTAGAGTGAAATTTACCGAAGATTTTTCTGTGCACATGTTGAGATCCTCTGTAAGGGTTTGCTTATCTTCCAGTAGTCTAACAATCTGCTGCTCCTTTCTATCACACAAAAGCTTTATTTCCTCCAGCTCTGTTCGCAGTAAGCTCTCTGTTGACTCAGACTCTTTAGATTGGCTTGATAATTTTTGGTGGTCTGTGACATTGACAGTTAATGTTAGTTTGACATTGGATGACTTGCCATCATCTGTACTCTCATACTCTGATTCTGATGAGGTTGTACCCGAGGGTGTAGTTTCCCTATATAAAGAAATTAAAATTTTTATTAAAAGCAAAAAGGGGAGACTTTGCCAAAAGTTTCTCAATGATTGGGATGAACATTGTCTTTCTTGCAATTATGCATGCAAACACATCTTTTGTTGACATTTTCTTTTTGGATAAATTTTGCATAGCCCTATCTGACAGAAATCCACACTATCTTTGTAGTAAATTTATGTATGTTTGGGTTTAACAAAATTCTTACAAATTCATTCAGTTTGGAAAATGTAATTATCTTTTTAGTGTGTTCTTCCTTTACAAAACAGTTTAATGATCATGTTAAAAAGATCATATGCAAGGAAAGGAAGCAAAAGTTTATCACTATTTTCTCAGAAACAGTTCAATGTCTTCCAAAAACAGATACAAAAATCTGCAGTTTCACTGGAAATAAAACATCATTCCCATTTGACAGCACTGCAGAGAAGGATTTGGTCGGAGGACATTTTTCTGTTTTTTTTTTTTTTTAAATTAAGTTCACAAATTTGATGATATCTGGCCAAATGTCTAGGAGTCATTCACATGTTTGAACATTTTCTAACCATTTATGTCAGAAATAGTAAAGTGATGGGGTTGCCAGATTGAACTTTTATTATAAAGCCAAGCAAATTTTAATTTAGTACATGAAATTTTACAAGAATGGTTTTCATTTTTTTTATAACTTTAATTTTTTTTAATTTTAATTATAATTTATAAAGTTTCAAATCTTTCAAATTTCCATATTACTATGATTACATTAAATGATATTAAATATTAAGTGAAAACTATATTTACTAATCAAAAAATTGAAAAGCTCAATACAAATCACACACAAACTTTTCAAAATTTGATTTTTTTTTTTATGTATATAAAATATCATACATGCCATCAGAAAATAAGAGCAACGATTATAGTAAATAGTAAAATAGCAAAGGCTATAGTAAATTCCTAAAATTAGATAAGGAATATTTTCTAAAATTTTTAAGATTACTGAATACTTAAAAATATAAAAAAGGTGTTCATGTCATTTTCTTAAATTATTTTTTTCAGATAAAGTCTCCACAGACCAAGAATTAATCTGTCATCACTTTGTGAAACATGGCTACTATCAGTTAAAAAACACTGCTACTGTTTGCTTCAAAAATAAATTTCTACAATATTTTAAACTTAAAGTAAATAATATTTGTTTCAAATCAGATTAATTATACTTTAAAACAGCTAATATTCCTCAAATAAAATTTCAGAAAAGCATATTTTATTTTTGGGAGATTTTTTTTTTTTTAATGAAAAATGACTAAAATAAGGGTGCTATCAGCTATTTTAGCAAAAAAATAAATAGATTCCAATCAATATAATTTCTGTTTGAAATACAAAGTATTTTGTTTACTAGAAATAGTAAATTTAATCCCTTTAGCTTTAATTGAAAGCTAAAATGAAATCTTCAAGAAAGCTTTTTTTTTTCATTTTAAACCTTAGGTATTGCAAATTAGTGGAGGTCCCTACATAACACTTTCTACATTTCCCCAAATCATGTAGGCTCAGATGTAACAAATGAAATAACTACTTGTATCAATCTATAGTACTATGATAATTCGTGCATGTGTACATGTTTGGACATCATGGCCAAATAAGGAGGGCCCCAAAGCCTCAGCCAATAACACAAGCTAGTTGACTTAGGAAATCATTCGAAGTCACCAGAAGTCATGAAAAGTATAGCATGCTGTTTCTAACAAAATCAAACAAAATGTGTAATTTTGATAAGAGATAAAAACATTTTTTTTTTTTTACCTAAAATATGGTAAAATTCAAGTGTCAAGGTCATTGATGACAATTTGTGTCCTTTATGATTTATATTGCAACCAAATAATTACATACTAGGAGGTAAACTGGTATGTAAAAGAAACTTTGGTAGAAAAAGACAAGATATGTGATGCTAACTTGCATTGGAGGTCACTTGAAATTAAGTTGGCATTAATATTTTTTCAGCCCAATGAAAAATTTTAAAATGGTTATATTTTTTTATCCTAAATATTGTATAATCCTGAAAAACATTTTCAGACATAAATTCTAAAGTTTTCAGGAGTATTTTCAATAAAAATAAAGCCCAAAATTACAGTAACTATCAGTGAACAAGAATGACATATTTACTTCAAAGAATAATAGTTTGGTTTATTTAGCTTAACGGCATATCAACCTCAAAGGTTTATTTAATACCAACAAGATTTTTCAGATAGGTTCGCATAAAGAGAGTATGTATTCTTTTGTAAAGAACCATTTTGTAGATCAGGTTTCATTGACTTATTTTGTAAAAGGGGGATTTTGTCAAGAGTCAAATGTATTGCTGGTAATAATTTTCCCCCTCAAAAATTGGTTGTAAAACAATGTAGGTAAGCAGATTTGGTAAAGAGTTTGTTTTTTTTTTTTTATATTTTCATGCAGAGCCCAATTTCTTTAATGAAATTTATGATGTTACTTGGATTGGTATTTTCAAATAGATCCTTTAAGTTATCTGATTTGTAAAGTTTTTTTTTTTATTTCAGGTTTGCTAGAAGTTACAGCAATTTAGTAGAATGTGTTTAATGGTATATGATTCCTGGCATGGGACACATATTGGCAGTCCCTCAATTTTTATTAGATGTTGGTGGGGTATGTATGTGCACCCTATATGAAGTCTGGCTAGAACAACCTCCTCTCTTTGTCTTTCTGTAACTTTCTTGATGATTGGTGGATGTTGAATAGTTTGTTGTTTACACAGTTGTTACATAATTGCTGCCGTTTTTCTTTAATGGTCCTGTTTATGGTGGGTCAGAAGTCAGTGTGTGGCACCTTTACATTTACGAGGGCCATGTTTAGTGATTCCTTTGCCATTTTGTTGGCTTTTCCATTTCCTTGTATACCAATATTGCTCGGTATCCAGCATAGGACTATTACAGCATCTTTTTCCTTATAGAGTCAATTTAATAATTTATTTAGGAAGGAGTTTCCCATGTTTGTATTCTTCAGAGCTATGAGTACAGATAGTGAATACAGAGGATGATGAATCTATCTGACCCACTGGATACTATAATATCTAAAGCCAAGTGTATGACTGAGGCTTTGTCAGGCAATCTTTTCTGCATTATGTTGTTAAGGATAGCAGAGCATCCAACTCTCTCCAAGATTTTAGAGCCATCAGTGTATATATGCTTACGATTTGGGTGAGCTTGTAGAACATTATTGATTTCTTCCATGTAATCAGATAAGTTAGAATTAATTTTAGGCTATTTAGTAAGGTTTAGCAGAATCATAAAGTATTTCATTAACCAGGGTGATTTTTTTTTTTTTTGAGTTGGTGGTTTTAAGAATTAGTGTTGGATTTATTTGTGTTTCACTGGTGAGATTTTCCATGTAAAGGCCAAAAGGTTTCATAGGATTTTCTTTTTTTATCAAATAGATTTTTTTGTATTTATCAAAAAGATTTTTGCATTTTGTATTTTTGAAGGTACAATGGTGGGCAAGGTTAGTTGCGCAGGATTCAAGTTTTATATTATTTTAATATTGTAATGCCAGTTTTCCTCGGCTCAATTTTAATGGTGCCTCATGAGCTTCAGCGTATAAACTTTCTATGGGTGATGGTGCTGAAGGCACCCAGAGCCAGTCTTAACCCTGCATGGTGAATGGGGGTCAAGGGTTTTTAAGTAGGATTTCCAGGTCAATCCATATATAAAACATCTGTAGTTCAATTTATTTAAAGTTCTATATAATTTTAGGAGTGATATGCAATCTGCTCCCCAGTTGATGTTAGCTATGACCAGTAGTAATTGTAATGCTTTGCAGAATTTCTGTTTTATGTGTAACAATATTTAACATGGCGTACAGACGAAAATGATTAAACGGACAAAAAGGGTTAAAACAAAATGATTTTAAATTTTTATCAGAAAGAGAATTATTTTCCTAGGATATGGGAATAGATGTATGAATTTTGTTGAAAAAGTTAAACAATGATACAGCAAACAGGTGCAGGATCAGAGGCCAGAGGTTAAGGTCGGCTGTTGAAAGATGTCTGGCTTGACTACGTGCTGAGAGGTTGTCAGCCAAAATTTCCCGAGAAAAAAAAAATTATAATTGTAAACAGAATAAAGGCAGGAGATGATGTCAGAAAGGCTGTTCAACTCCTTGGTTTAATGCAGTTAAGATACCCCAGTGGAAATTTGGCTTGACCCTCTTAAGATCAAAATCACAATGTGGGTAAGAGAGGTCACAGTTGAAGAGGTTAACTTTGAGATCAGCTGCTGTGTCAAACGCCATCAACGACCGACAAGTGGGCTAATGGCTTGTTCTCTGATACCAGGATCGATCCTAACCAAGCGGGCAGACTAGGATTGACCCTGAGTACTTGCATACTTGGTGGCCAGAACTGTCATATATTTGATCGCCACGGGTAGGCTGCAGCCCTGAAACCATTATAATTGGTTGCCGTGACCAGGCTGCAGCCTTGAAGGCAGTCATATATGTATTTTAAGTGTGGGATGAAAGTAAGTTTTTTTTTACAAAAAAAGGTTCTCAGAAATTTATGTTGATCAGTCATTTCAATTTCTGTTCCATCAAGTTGGATCATCGTGCATATTTTTCAGATTTCAGAAATGGATACACTTTGTTATGGTTGGGGAGAATTTGAAACCGTTTTTGATAGTTTAGTTTCATTTATTTTGATAGTTTAGTTTCATTTATTTTGATAGTTTAGTTTCATTTATTTTGATAGTTTAGTTTCATTTATTTTGATAGTTTAGTTTCATTTATTTTGATTTTAGTTTCATTTATTTTGATAGTTTAGTTTCATTTATTTTGATAGTTTAGTTTCATTTATTTTGATAGTTTAGTTTCATTTATTTTGATAGTTTAGTTTCATTTATTTTGATAGTTTAGTTTCATTTATTTTGATAGTTTAGTTTCATTTATTTTGATAGTTTAGTTTCATTTATTTTGATTTTATTTTTTATTTTGATAGTTTAGTTTCATTTATTTTGATATTTAGTTTCATTTTTTTGATAGTTTAGTTTCATTTATTTTTGATAGTTTAGTTTCATTTATTTTGATAGTTTAGTTTCATTTATTTTGATTTTAGTTTCATTTATTTTGATAGTTTAGTTTCATTTATTTTGATAGTTTAGTTTCATTTATTTATTTTGATTTAGTTTAGTTTCATTTATTTTGATAGTTTAGTTTCATTTATTTTGATAGTTTAGTTTCATTTATTTTGATAGTTTAGTTTCATTTATTTTGATAGTTTAGTTTCATTTATTTTGATAGTTTAGTTTCATTTATTTTGATAGTTTAGTTTCATTTATTTTGATAGTTTAGTTTCATTTATTTTGATAGTTTAGTTTCATTTATTTTGATAGTTTAGTTTCATTTATTTTGATAGTTTAGTTTCATTTATTTTGATAGTTTAGTTTGGTTTAATTTATTTAGGCACACTTGCAGTTGTCGTTCTGCACTGTGCATATTTTTTGATCTGTAACAGATCAAAAAGTCGTCTATGTATAATGAACCATCAACTCCTCGATTCAAGCAATTAACAATGTTGTTAATTTTTATATTAAAAAGAGTGATGGACAGGATGCAACTTTGTGGAATTCCTTGGATTTTTGGGTCCAAGAGTGTTGATCCTACCCAAACATTGAAATTTCTGACAAAAAGTTATTTATCAAATTGGGTAATCTGCCTTTTAATCTTATATTGTATAGGTCTTTCATTATTCCATGTTGTTTCATATGCCTTTTCTAGATCGAAGAAAATGGCTATTTCTTTTTTCTTTTTTTTTTAAATAAATAAAAGCCTCTCTAATGAAAGTTTCTAGGCAGACTATGTTGTATATGGTGCCACTTTTATTTCAGAATCCACTCTGAAGATTGGTAATTAAACCATTAGTTTCAAGGCACCAGTTCAATCTTTTATTCACTATTCTTTCTAGGGTTTTGCATATGCAACTTGTTAATATTGTGGGTCAGATGTTTTATGGGTCTGATTTGCCTTTATCTGGTTTTGGTAAAGAGATCACAGTAGTTTGTTTCCAGCTATATGGTAGTTTTCCCTTAAACCATATATCATTAAAGACATTTAACAGATATTTTAAGGATTTTGGGGGGAATTGTTTAAGAAATTCATTATGAATTTCATCTGGGCCAGTAGCAGTACTATGTGATTCACTTATGGCATCTATAAGTTCATTTAGAGTAAAAGGACGGTTGTAATCTTTGTTGTTCAAGTTAGAGTTCAGCTTATATTTTTTCTTTTGTATCATGCCTAACATTTTGGAATTGCTGTTTGTAATTTTCGCTGGAGGAATTTTTTTTAAAGGTTTCAGCAAGTAGATTTGCTATATCCTTTTTGCTTGTTATTTTTGTTATTTTGGGAAAAGTGATTTAGAGGAGGTGATAGATTCTTGCCTGTGATTGTCCTTATATTCCAGACTTTTTTTTTTTTGGTTTCATATTGGAGTTTATTTTATGTAATTTCTCCAGGATTGATGGCTCTATGTGATATTGCTCTTTTTTGTTTGAATAGATTTAAATTATGAATTGTAGGCAGAGTATTAAATTTTTGTAGTGCTGTGCTATGTAATCTTATTGCCTTTTGCAATCTTTGTTGAACCTTGATCTTTGACTCAATGCTTTTTGGTATACATTTTCTCACAATTACTATTAATGTTTCAGAGAAATGTTCAATAAATTTTTTTTTTGTCTTCTTTTTTGGTAAGTTTTTGACAGTATTGGTTTACATATTCCTTCCAATCCACTTTGTTTAGTTTCCATTGAGGGATATGGTTTTCAATTGGTTCTGAACTCTTCAGTATAATTGGGTAGTGATCACTGCCGCATGAATTGTTGAGAACTTGCCAATTGTAATCCATAAAAATAGAGGGGTCAAACAGTGATTTTTGATTGAATTAGAAATGTGTTATTTTTCTTTATTGATTTTGGTTCTACCATGGCATAACCTTTTGCAACACAAAAGGTGACACTTATTTCACCATCTAATGATTCTATGACTATGAAAATTGTTTGATATTTCAGTGTCACTTTCTGTTTCAGAGTTTTTATATTGTCTCGGTTTATTTATAACTATATAATTTTGTTTTTGTATTCACCGTATGTGCTCCCCACCTACCTCAGAGTTCCTTCTTAAAGGATGCTGTCAGGGGGGAATGTCAGTATAGTCATGCTGAAAGTGGATGAGAGCACCCATATTCTCCCATCATATCTAACTAAGTATAGTATGGTGTAAGGATTTGCAGCCATTATCTTTCATCCCAACTAGCCCTTGCCACTATGTGATTAGCTGAGTGGATTGTATTGGGCCATTCCATCCCCCTGTCTATCTCAAGTAGGGACCAAAGTGACGTATTGTGGAAATTTTTGGTCATTTTGTTACTGGATCAGGAATCAGTCACCAGGACTGTCCCTGGGCATCACAAGTTGCTACACATGGCAAACTGGTGGCCCCATCGAGGGGAATTTATAGTTTTTGGGGATCAATTTTTGTGAATGTGCATTTCATATATTGAAATTTTAAAGGTATTTTGTATGGATAGGTAGTTTAGGTATAGTGCTTTGTGTAAATAGATAGTTTGCGGATTATGATTTTTTATTAGTTGTTTAAATGTGTCTCTTTAATTTCAATAGATTGTTTGTATGGAGAAACTATAGTTATAAACAGATAGGTTGTAGATTTATCATAAGATGACAGCATGTAGGTGAAGTTTTCCTCATATAAACAATTAGATTCTAATCAATCTTGTTTACTATACTATGCCTGGTAGTATTTTAATGTCCTATACAAGATGTGGGTAAAATTGTTTTGTGAAAAAACACAGATTGGAGTATTAGTAATTTCTCTTACAAAAATGTATTGTGGGTAATTTTTATTTTTTTAAGATGCATTGCTGGTAACTTTTTAATCACAAATATGTATTTCTGACACCTTCACTATAAAAATATATTTCTACCCTTTTGTAGTGTTTTGACCCCAGATCGGGGTCAAACTATTTACCCATAACTGGAACCCTAATAGGTATTAACCACCCCAGTTCATTACACTCCGCAAAACCTCTCAATGAGAAGCCTTGTTGCCGAATGTAGTTTATTGCCATGCCTAGGACAGACTTTAAAGAAATAAAAACCCAAAGCTGTTGCAAAAGATTTCTGGCAGATTCAGTTGTACGTGTCAGTTTATCCAGTTTCAAACACTTTGAAGCTGTTTAGAAGTTAAGCGAGCTGCTTTGGTGTTCCTCCCTACAAACTCCAACTAAAAGTTGGAATACCCCTTATGATTCTCAGAAATCTCAACTTTTCAAAGTTATGAAATGGAACTGTCTTGCAGCTTTTCCCATATGTCATCAAGGTATCTATCCTAATTAAGGTAGGCAAAAGTAGTGGATAGTTTATTTATTCCAAGGATTCCCATAGATTTGCCATTTGAATTTAAAGGGGTTCAATTTCTAGTGACATTCAGCTTTAATAGACAAGGAACATGGACAATATCTTAAGATCAATAGTTAAAAACTAATTTCTCTAAGCTTTTCCCTATGAGCAGATCTATGCTGGTTGTTCGAGGGTTAGATTCCCAAAGAACCATTTCATATTGACATCCAATAGAAAAGCACTAATGTTGTTTACCCAGAAGCTTTGTTAGACTATGGGACATATCATGCCTTTTGGGTAACAGCAATTTTTTTTATGTTATATTGTGTGTGCAAGAAGAATTGTTATAATTTTTTTTCTGCATTATATTCAAAGTTATATTTTCCTGGGAAATAGAGATGTTCCTACCAGTCCATTACAATAACACCAAATGTCTATATTTGTCATTTAGCCACATGATTTTAATGTAGCCTTTTCAATCAGTCAGACATATGAGAATATAAAATTAAATATAATCCAAAGAGTCAAAAAGAAAAAGTAAAATGTTTTAAGGAATTTTATATGTAAATTCATAATTGCAGAAGACATTTTTTTGAAAGACTAATTAAAATATAAATTATTTTGTAATTTTCCTAACATGGAAATTTCTTAATTTAAATAAGTAGAAGAAAAAATATGATCCGTCAAAAGGAAGACATTTCTTCCACAATTGTTCTTTCCATTTAAATAGGAAAAGGATATCAATATTTTAACCAACCTTATATCTTTTGATGATTTTCCTGTATAGGTAAAACCAACAAATGGGAGATCTTTACCACTGAAGTCTCGTTGTTGTTTGAAATCTTTAATTCTTTGGGTTGACTGGATTTTTTCAAATTCATCAAAGTTAGAAGTGTCATCAAGACCAGAAAGACTGGGCACAAATGGTGGTTTCACTACAAAGAAAGCAAAATTGTTACTTGGAAAATTTCAAATTGAATATATATATATATATATATATATATATATTTTTTTTTTTTTTTTTTTTTAGAGAAACTTTTTTTGCTAATAAACTGACAGGCTTGTAATGATATTAGCTTATCAGAGTCAATTTAAGATGTACAAATCCCTGTGGATATGACCTAAAGCCATGTTAAAACCTATACCTGATCATTACTGTAGTTCTCTTCACTCTTGCATACAGACTGCTAATTTTGTTAACATTAGGTCATAATATAAATTCATAATACTGGCATCAGTTTTTTTTGTTTTTTTTTTTTATATAAACAAATCCCACTTAGCCAGCTTGTTAAAAAAAAAAAAAAAAAGCCAAAAAACCCAAAAAAACAAAAAAAAACAACAAAAAAAAAAAAAAAAAACATACAAAGTTTATTAAAAATCTGTTAAGTACTTATATGTAATTAATATAAACCTTTTAAATTCTAAGTTTGCAGTATCACTGTTTAACCAAGTTTGTCTACACATACAAATATGCACAATATTGAATTTCTTTCAATCTTAGACAAATTATAAATCTATGTATAGTATCAATGTAATTTAGTTCAGATCTTCTTTTCTTATAAAGAAAAGCTTACCTTTGCGAATATTGTGCCAAGAGACATCTTTGAAAAATGGATGAATCAACAAACTTTGGTAATCCAGGCGACACTTTGCTTCAGTTAACAAATTCTTCAGTAAATCCACAGCCCCTTCTGAAACATCCTTGGATGGAAATTTCAGATATTTCTGGGGAGGAAAAAAAAAAAAGAAGTCAGTCTATGCATGATTATGTATAAAAACCATAGGTTTTTTTGTTTTTGAAATGTATATAGACTGTAGAAAGTAATTTAACTCGTTAACACACTAGAGAATGCATGTACAATATACTATATTTAAGCTTGTGGTAATCAGCATAAATTTATAAACATCACTTGACAACAATTTTGTTCAAATATTTATAAGGCATTTGTAATTACCTTATAGTTCATGATTTTATTGTAAGTTCCTGATTTAGAGTTATCTGCCCCTGTGAATGGTGTGTTTCCATAGAGCATCTCATAGGCACACACACCATAAGACCACCAATCAACCTCTACCCCATAGCGCTGGGACGATTCTGTTGAGTTCATGAAGAGGAGTTCAGGTGCTACATAGTCTGGAGTGCCAACTGGAATATGAGATGATACCTGCCATAAAAAAAGGGGAGGTAAAAAAAAATACCATAACGTCAACATGATTATACATGAATTCATCAGAGTACAATTTCCATTCAACTTCTTTGCTTTGATTTATTCAACAATTTCCATTCAACTCATAGGCTTTGATTTATTCAAACTATTGTTCTAATCTTGTTATAAATGTTATTATTGACATTTCAGATAAGTAGCCTTTGGCCATTATCAGGTATCTATCTTGTATAATTGTGTTATTTTTGCCCGTGTGATGTTTCTTGTTCATTCTTACTAAACCAGAGTATGAATTTCACTACATGAACCAGGGATTGAACACAGCCACTAGGTGACAGAAATACTTGATTAACCAACACCTATTTCCATTGAACCATTCTATCAGCTCCCAAAAATAAAAATGAAGACCTCAAAATGGCCAAAGAGTACAGTACTATCTATAAAAACCAAAGAACTATAGTTTGACAATTCTTTATCTCAAAAATAAAATTTAATTCATAGGGTTTGTACACATTTTTACAATAAAAATTAATATGCATTGAAATGAGAAGTGTACATTTGAATGCATAAATAAAAATGTAAGGAGCTGTTGTATGTGTACAAAACATTGAATTCATGCTTCAAAATGATTAGTAATTTTGAATCAAATCTTGTATAATTACTACATTGTACAAGTTTTTTTGGATTATTTTTAAAAATGAGTGATAGGACATTAAAATCACAAAAGAAAAGATTGTAGACAAAAAATTATTATTGTGACTAAAATTGTTCCGCTTAAATTTCCAAATTTAAAGCTATTTTTATGGTTCCTGCCAAACTTTGTAATGCTATCAAACAATATATAAACTCATGAGTTGTGTATTACTGTTCTGGGTTCTTGACTAGGTATGTAGAAGTTTTTTTTGACAAATTTCTTCAGTGAGAAATTTTAAGAGAGCTACTTTCTTCATTCATATTTTCATCTAATTAAACAAATATACTTCAGCTGATAGAGCACTAGCAACATGGTTATACATATTTTTATCTGCCAAAACCCTGAAATGAAAAGGTTATTCAAAGGCAAGATTAGTGGCATTTTTGTTTTCAATTCATTATAGAGGAACAAATTTTCTGTGATTACAGAATCTTTAATCTTAAATGGAAGATGGGTTTTTAATGTAATTTTCAATAAATCACAATTGATATTTTTTCAGATTTTTTTTTTTTTTTAATTCTTTCAAAACTTAATTGTCTATCCAATTTTGTTAAGCATTTTAATAAATATAACAATAACAATTTATTCCCTTAAAATTTGTTTTTACAAATTTGTATTTATTTTTCTTATAAAACCTGAAAAATAATTAAGAGCAAAAATATTTACATAAAAAAAAAAGTGGGTTGTCAATTTTCTGAGAATATCTTGACTAGTCTATTTTTAAATATTTTAAAACATTTCTAAGAAACTATAAAATGGATAAAATGAAATTTACCAAAAGTGAAAACAGAATCAAGGAAAATCTGAAACAGAAAATAGGTGGCCCCTACTCTTATATTATGAGAGTGATGGTGAAAATAAAGTCAGACACTGTTTGTAGACTATTAGAGTTCACTTGTTAGAAGAATGAATAAGAAATACTTTCTTTCTATTACTACATTTTCAAGTTTGATATCACTGTACCCTAGCTAGAAACATTCACAAATTATGCAGCAAATAGTGTTCTTGTAGATTTGTATTAATACAAATGCTTACTAGTTTTGTTCAATCTGATGACTAATATTTCCTATCAACAATGATTGATTTGGGTTTTTTGTTTGTTTTTTGCAGCTTATTACTTCTTTGTGGTTTTCTTAAAGTCGACATGTTTCAGATTGTTTTCTATTGACAACAAAGTGATATATATTAATACAAAAAGTGACATGGATGCTTTAAAAATGTTAAACTAGTATCACAAGCAATAACCTGCAAAATACATCTTACACCAAATGCAATGCATATATTTACTGCTGTATTCATGAACAAAAAGCCAAAATGCATTCATTCACCAAACTTAATTTTTCAAAAACATTTCTTACATAGTTTCTTGTGGACATTTTAGCAGCAGATCCAAAATCAGCCAACCTGATATGCCCAGATCTGTCCAAAAGAACATTCTCTGGTTTTATATCCCTGAAAAAAAATAAATAAATAAATAAATAAATAAAAAAAAAGCAGAGAAAAATCTATTAATGTTAGGAAAAAAATACTTGAAAATAAATTCCATAAATTAAAATTATTTCTTATTGACTAAAATGTTCCTAAACAATAGATTAAATAAAATTAATATAATAAAGATCAGTGTTTTTATACACAA